CAGGCCGCCTCAGTCCCGCCCTCTGTGTGGCATAACCTGAGAAAAAACTGCACTATGTGATATCCCTGATTCAGTTCAGAGTGGTAATATCAACAACTGTACACAATCTACTACACAAAACCTACAAGCCAGAATGACACTTAAGCCTAAGTACACATAATCCACTCCCTGTGCAAAAGGCAGCTCAGTGGCACCTGCCTGCCTGCATTTCTTGCTGCACCTACTCGGAAGAAAGGATATTGTCAGAGGGGGGCAGGCATAAAGGCATGAGTCTTTCTTGCTTGCAGAGGCTGGAATGCAGGAAGTTGGAAGAAAGAATGGCAAAGCCAAAAGTACTGAATGCTGAGCATGGCAACCAGCTTCCACATCTCTTTGATGAACACTTCAGTCAACAACTGGTTCCTCCCACTCTTTGATGCGCAGAACAGAAAGAAAATATGGGCATCTCAAACCATCTGACACTGGTCTGCCATAAATTGTCACAGGCTTGGCCGAGTGCCTTGCCCCAACAGAGGGTCTCCTAGGACTGCTCCTCCTAGCGCAAGCTGCTTGTTCAGCTGCCTGCTTTTCTGGCACAGACAGCAGTGGCACTGAGAAAGAGCCCTGAGAAATATGGCTGCCCTCTTGCTCACTGGCCCCCTGTCTTGCAAGTGAGGAAATCAAGAGGAAATTGTTAGAGGGCTACAGCAACTGGGATGATGGTAGACTCGTGGAAGAAGTGGGCCCATGACCAGCACCTTGTGAGAGGGCATGCAACACCCTGGAGCTGGCACAGTCAGGCAGACTTGAGTTTGGCTTGGGGGCTCTTGCACTGGATCACGAGATCCCCATCGAGATTCAGTCACAAATAACTAAGGCATTGTTTTATTTTCACCCTTGGACCTCTGCGTCTGCCCACATTTCATTCTGTGGGCATTCATTGTAATGCAGTGGGACGATAGAACTGCATGAGGCTGTTCCTGTTGGAACTCTGTTACGGAATGTCCTTCTGCTATATCATGCTGTTAAAAAATCATAGCAAATCATCAACATCTTCTACCAGAGATGCTACCAGTTTCTTGGCTGTAGCACTGGGTGGGGAGGGGTCACTAAATCAATAGGCGGTGCCAAGAGAATGATCGATCGTTTGTGCCATGATCCTCAAACTACTTATCTGAGTTGGTTGTCTGAAATATAGGGGAGTGCTTATCTTATCTCCCTGAGAATATCATTGGAGAATTGCAACTGAAATGTACCAAAGTCCAAGCTGGCATCCTGCTGGCTAAACAGCTCCAGGGCCAACATTCACCTGATCAGGTTAACATAGCAACTTGACCTTCTCCCAGAATAGAACAATAATGGTGACTTCATGGAAGCCATAGGGACATGAGATCAGAATAGGGAGATTTGACTTTAAATATGAAGCAGAGCTTCTCTTTCCAAAATGCCCTGATTGTATAGCATTCTGTATTTCAAGCATGTCTTCTTTTCTGTGCTGTATTTTATGTCAGTTCTGCCTCAAAATTCTCACATGCCATTCATTTGCAAATTATTGTTCATAAATGATGCTCAGCTATGCTTGTTTGAATTTTTAATTCATGCAACCAACATATAGAAAAGTGGACTGTAAATTAATCCGTTTTAACAATTTAAAATTGCAGATAGTAGGGTTTTAGTAGGGAGTTCTGCAGGGGAAGTGAAATGGCATGGCAATATGTGTGGTACAGTGGAAAATATGGCTGTTGGAAAGCATGGTTAAGAACTGGCTATCAAGTCAAAGTTATGTTGTTAGGTAGGGGGAAATATCATATGTATGTGAACTGCTAGCATGTTCTTTAAATTCCTGATAGGATTGTAGACATGCAAGCAAGGTTGCTCTTGAGAAAGCCACCGATGACTTTCCACTACAGTTACAAATAAAGCAAAGTAGAATACAACCCTATGCATGTTCAGACTGAAAAAGTCCTGCAACTCCCCACTTGCATTGGAATATACAAGACTGCGCTGCAATCCTACACATATATAACGCAATGTGCGCTCTCTCTCTCTCTCTCTCTCTCTCTCTCTCTCTCTCTCTGGGTGGGTGGGTGGGTGTTGCCACCCCGAGGCAGTACAGAGCATGTGTCACTGGGGCATCCTATTTACCCCCTGCCCCCTTGCTTTGCCACTGCTGTGCAACCAGGAGAAGTAATGGCAGGGCTTGCCGTATGCGGCTCTGCAGCCCCTTCGTCTAGCTGCACGACTCCACATGATAAAGCCAGCTGGGCAGGCGGCTGCTCTAGAAAGCCCTCTGGACCCCCCCTTGCTGTGGCAAGTGCCATGGGGGAAAGCAGGCGGCAGGCCCACTGGAGCACCCACCGGGGCAGATGTCGGTGGGCCCTCCTCGGAGCAGCAAGGGGAGTGCCACTAGCATCGGGCTGCAGGCACCTGGCCCTGCTTCATGGGAGGGCCGGCCCTGCTTCGACGTGGGCTTGCCGGGGACTGTGCTATGAAGCTCCGGTTGGTGTTCAAAAGTAGCAATTTACTGTTGCACAGAGTGTCCCAGTGACAACATTTCTGACTAGCACTGGAAATGAATTAAATGTATCAATTAGATGTTATAGACAGCTGCAAATGTTAAAAACAAGCCAATATTAATTTTTCCATCCCGCTGTGTTGCTGTCCTTTTCTTTGTTCTTTCCACTGCAGTTGCCAGACTGCATCTTGGACAGCTTGCACGCAATCTTGTAAAGTTATGAGATGGTGGAAATATATATAGTTACATTTTCAGCTAGGTTGTCCTACTTTACAGAGGGCACCCTCTGTTTGAAGGAATCTTCTGTCCATAGGGCTGTCCAGTCCACATCCTGTTTAAAGATAAAGAAGCACAAGGGGAAGGATATTACCCTTGGCAAGTTAGCACTTGGATGGAAGACTGGGCAGGACGCTGGTCACAGTCCATCCTCACCGTGATGAGTTGTACAGTATTCTGTTTAAAGTATATGATTACTCCTAATTTTCCTCTGTATGCACATGTTGTAAGCCGCCCCGAGGCTTCGGCGAATGGGGCGGCATAAAAATGTTTTAATAAATAAAATAATAAATAATAATTTGGCACATTCAAATGTTATGTAAATCAGAGTCTTCTTTTCAGTGATGTGCAAATGGAAGCCATGGTTCCAGTGCTGCCATTACAGCATTTTTATTTGCATCTTGACGTTCTTCCAAGGAGCTCAGGGCAGCATTCATAGATGTTCCCCTGTCTTTTCTAGCAAGTACTAGGTCAAAGCCCATCCATTTTAACCACCATACCACATCATTGCTTTCCTTTCCTGTTGTTGAAGCAGGATGAGACCCTTGACCCTTGACCGGAGGGGGACCCATGGGGGGAGTGATGTTGTGTGCACATGTCCTGTCAAAGCTCAGACTTGCACATGGGAGGGTACCTGCATTGGCATAACTGACAGTTCAGACGATGTTGATAATGATGACGAGACAGATGCATGGGAGGCTACCCAGTTTGGTGGGACTGACTACTCGGACTATGTGAATGAGACTTTTTGTTGAGCTGCGGCTCAAGTTCCTGAGATTCCACAAGATGTGGATATGGAGGAGGTTAGCTCAAGGGCCGCTGAGGAACAAGTCAACTGGGTGTGGGAACTGGGAGGCACTGCGGCCACTCTGGGGCGAGATATTGGGATGGGTAGTTTTTCAGATGGGAACACCCACCTCTTGAAGAGGAAGCCCCCGTCACCAGGTGACATCCTCGCAGAGAGGTCCAGTTAGGCACACTGCAACAAGAACATAGGTGTGCTCACTTTCACAGTGCTGCTTCCCCTCAAGAAGATGCAGGAGAGTTCACCAAGATAGTTTTGGGGAATGAATGTCAGGGAGCATTCATCTCTTTGCTCTGTGCCTGCTCAGAGACTGAATATGATAATAAATACTGATGAGACTGACTTTGATCAGAGGGAAAAGCACAACTTATGGCACCTTTTGTTCTGCAGTCCTTCTGCCATGCAAGGGAGGCCTGTGATTCTCCAAGACTGAAGAACCGTGAGCAGCATCATTGGACTGCACCCTAAATGGGTTAAGGCATCAACTCCATGTGATATCCTATGATGCTGTATAAAAAGATGAAGCCACATTTGCCCTTTTGATTGTTCTGCAATGATTTCTATAGTGCAGCGGTGGTGGTGGTGGGTTGTATGTGGCCCACAGAATACATGTTACCCACATATGCCCTATCCATGTGCCATAAGTTTACAAAATATGCTTATTACAATATTGCTCTCCAATGATTCCTCGAGGGCTGCTCATGCTTGCTCTGCGAGCTCACAGCATTACACTTCCTTCAGCCACAGACACACTACTCAGCAGAGTTTGATCTTGTTTGCCTTGGCTGAGCTCCTTTGAAATTCAGATCAGATACCTGTCCCATATGTAGCTGCTCAGAATTTCAGAAGTGGAAAGAGGCACACACTGAAGGGGTGGGAAAAGCACCATGGGCTTTTCCAGAGCAAAAACAGCCAATAAATACTTCAGTTATCTTTCCCACTCCTATTCCTCACAATGGAACAGCTTCCAATGCCAGATGGAAGGCAAAAGAGAGAAGGGTTGTACCTGGGCAAATATTTAATTTCTCTCAGTAACATAAAGTCACTACAAAAAAAAAAAAGAAAAAAGATGCAAGTAGTTAAAAGTTTGACTTAAATCAGAGCATCACCCTGACATATTCTTTCTCTCTCTCAACAATCAATACGTTATTTTAAGCAGGCCTATAAAATAAGTGTCAGGAGCAAGAGTGAAGGCAAGAATGTTATAGACCACATTTCTAATAGAATCAAGAACTAGAATCAATTGCAGCAGCTTGACCTTACCAGGTCATGTGACTAATTGCACTTTAGTCAGCCACATCAGTGTGTGAATTGCTTTCAAGATAAGTAGAGGCATAAATTCCCATTAAAAAGGAGAAGCAGACTTGTGCAGCTTGTGCAGAGAAGTCGCCTGTGTTTTAAGCTCTCGTACTAGAACCAGCAGTCATGGCATTTGATGGCACCTGGAAGGTGGAGAAGAGTGAAAATTATGATAAGTTCATGGAAGTGATGGGTAAGATCTGTGTTTCCTTTGCTTCCTGCAGAATTATTCTCTTGCTCCTCTATTCAAAATGTGGTCGCCTGCAGCTCCTGCCCATTTTATTCTGCAGCTGCAGCTGCAGCTACTGAACTTCTAACACTATGTTCTAAATCTGTTCTCTCCTGCCTGCTAAAAGGGAGTTTCCTTGAAAATGCCATGTTGCTCTCCAGCTGTCAAGAGCAACTAATGTAGGGGATGAAGTGATATGGAAATGCTTTGCTCACTAATCTTTTTGTCTGTGTAAATGAAGAAGGCACAGAAATAGCTATAACCCTTATTACTCCATAAAGCTGTTTAGAGTTGTAGTGAAAGACTTCAAAGACCCTCATTTCATTCTTAACATTGTTATCCTGTCTATCCACCAAGGAGCTCAGGGTGTCATGCATGATATTTCCCTTGGCCCATACTTTTATCCTTACAACAACCCTGGTAGGTAGGCTAGTCAGAGTTTTAGTGAGAAGGGATTTGAACTGGGGTCTCTTGAGCTCCTAATCTGGCACTGTCTGACTGCTACATTAGTTGCTACTTGGGTGATGCTTGCCGTCTGTGCTAGTCTTGCAGACCTTGGGAAGTTGATATTGGGTTCCAAAATTCAACCTCTACTAAGCCCAGAGGTATTCTTGGCAGAGGAGGCTGACAGTTCCTCTGTCAGTGGAGTACCTTATCCATGTCAGTTTTCAATTCTGAGCTTAAGAGGAGCTATCCATGGTATGACTCCACCTGCAAAATAAGATCAACATCATGGATAGCTCCTATAATCCCCAAAATAAAAGCTGCAATGGATAGGGAGCCCCACTGACATAGGAGTAACCAGCCTCCCTTGTTCTTTGGGAATGAAGGTGGTGGCACCTGAAGCTTCAGTTTTCTAAACCTGTTTTAAGAAATTTAACATCTTCATGAGCAGAAAAGCCGCAAGCCTGTTCTACAGTACATCGCCCTACCAGAAACTACTTGAGTCCCCACTCTTTGTGCTGCTTTTCTAAAAGCTCAATCCTGTGTAGGAAAAAGACCTACAATTCCCAGCATTCCCCAGTCAGCATAGATAGAGAATGTTGGGTGCTGCAGGACTTTTTGTTCATCTAAATATGCATAAGATTGTAGTTTAAGAAATTTAGTCCTTACTTTCTTCCCCAGGCAGGGCAACTGGAGTATTTCCCAGTTTACTCCCAAAACTGGCTTACTGCCCCAACTTAGATGGTTAGTTACAGTCTCTCTGTGTCTCCCTGTGAACATCAGATTATGCAAGATCCATGATTTTTTGTAACAACAGCCTTTTCGTCTGTGCAGAAGAAATTAGGGCAGCTACGCCTAACTGCTTCTGTAACAGAGATATGTTAATTTAGGCTGTAATCCTATATCCACTTTGGAAAAAGTTGAATCAAACTCTGTGCCTTACTGATGAGTGGCGGGCATGCATAGGGCTGCATGGTAAGCCTTTTTTCATGCAGATGGGAGTCTGGAGGGAAAGGAAATTATTTATGCAAAGTGTCACTGAAGAAAGTGTCACAAAACAGGAAAGAAATGGCAAGATAGTGGGGATGGAGAGACAACAGCATCCAATATGTCCAATATTCTTCCTCAGCTTCAGTCTCAAGCAAGGTGTACTTCACATAACATATACATAACATAACACATACATATAGGCTAAATACCCAACAATGACAAGAGACAATAGCAAGAGATATAGAAAATCTCATCTAAATTGGGTGAATTAGCACTGAACACAGGAAAGCTATTTCAAAGGTCAAAAGCAAGGGAGGACTGGGTCCAAAATGTCCTAGTCTCTCTCTGGCCAATTTCTGTACTCTTTAAAAATTTTTTGAAAAGATAGTTCTTCTGTGTTACTTACCCACTACCCTCTTATCTTTCTAGGTATTAATATTGTGAAGAGAAAACTAGGAGCCCATGACAACTTGAAGATCACAATCCAGCAAGAGGGAAACAAGTTCACAGTCAAAGAATCCAGCACCTTCCGCAACATAGATATAGTGTTCAATCTGGGAGAGAATTTTGACTACAGTTTGGCAGATGGAACTGAACTCCATGTGAGTGAACTGTGCTCCCAAGATGTTTTGTTCTTGCTGAAAGGTTACAAACCAAACAATCTCTATACAGACCTGCTTTGTTCTGGGATTTTTTGTGATACTGAAACCTTAACAAAAATGCCTATGCCTGTCTTTATATTTCAGGGTCAATGGAACATGGAGGGAAATAAACTGGTAGGCGCATTCACCCGGAAGGATAATGGGAAGGTACTCAAGGCAGTGAGAGAAATCACTGGAGATGAAATGGTCCAAGTAAGTTTAGAGATAACTTGTGGGTCAATGTTTTAAGTCCACACATTGAATAATTACTTCCAGCTGAAAGAGAGAAAAAAGGGGATTTCAAATACCTCAGCAATGTGAACACATTGGGTTGGCAAATTTCAAGTTGAAAATCTTCAATGTATACATTTAAAAAAGTGAGGCCTACTGCAAAATGTTCCATATACCGGATTTCATGCAGGATTCCAGCTGGCCGTGGCCCCAGGGTGGCAGCTAGTCAGGCCTTCTTCCAGAAAATTGTATTCTGTTCACAGAGACACACACACCAATATTCTATTTTCCCCCTCAATAGCCTGTCATTCTGTATACCCTAAGCATGCCCAATTCCCACTGGACTCTTCTAGGGATCCCCCTATTGGGTTTTTCCCTCCAAAGTTTGCTTATACCTCTGCAAATTTTTATGTTCCCCCACATGGTACCTCTCCCATGTTCATGGATGGGCTGGACCAGGATCCACACTTGGGGAACTATGGGAGCTGTAGTCCAACACAACTGCAGGGCACCAGACTGGGGAAGCCTGAATATAGGATATGCTTCCCTAGCCAAGGGTCTTCCAAAACATAATATTCTCTTTGGCAGGGGGTGTTTCTCGAGACTTTTTTATGCCTGTGTGAGCTTCTCTGCAATAAATGACTCACCTCCCACCCGAGCTTCTGAAAGAAGGAAGTGGCCAAGTTTCTCAAACATACAAATGGAGATTTAGGGAATGAAATTCCTTGCCAAATATCAGGAAGGATATCGGAGCCTGCAAGACACTAAAATAGCACTTCTAGATGCCTTTCCCACTTAACCATTAGGCACTGCCATTTCTTCTTAAGAAAAGAAATGTGGCTTCACAGAACACAAAACACACCTCAATCTTAACCAAATTGGGGTAACACATGAGTGAGGAGAAATTCACTCAGTAGGAAGTGTTTTTTCCCCCCTCTCACTCAATTTTTTGCCAGTCTTGGAAAGCAGCCATAACAAAACAACAGCAAACCACAGCAGGAATTAAAGGTAGCAATCCCGATTTTCCCAAACAAGAGTATGAAAATGCTTTGTGGTGTGCTGGCTTCAAGCTCTGACCTGTCTGTCAACCCTGATGGAGGATTATTTGGGAAATAGCAAGAGTGTGACTAATATTATTACAAGCAGATTCACAGTGCAATCCTATTATTTATGACCACTGAGAAGAGACTTAATGAAAGATCTGCATAGCCTTATTGCAGTGTGAGTTTTCATAGACAAGAGCCAATGAACAGTCAGTAACAGTGATTGGGTAACAGGCCTGCTGAAAAGGGTTAGGGTTAGAGTCTTGCTTTAGCAAAATGTCTTTTATTAATGCTTCCATGCGAAGACTCACCTCTCATTTTGAGAGATGTGGAATGAAACCACCCTGGGCAATTCAACATTGTAAATGGAATCTTGGTAATCTTCAACAGCATTCTGACCTTTGCTTTGTTAAACCTTCCAGACTTACACCTACGAAGGGGTGGAAGCAAAAAGATTTTTCAAGAAAGCATGAACAACAGCCTGGGATTAGAATCTGATGAAGAATTGCTACGTTTTGTTTATAGCAACTATGCATTCTTCAGTAACGGCAAAGTAACTGGGTTTTAATAGTCTTGCCTGTGTTTTGTAATTGAAATACTATTAAAGCCTGTTTATCTTTTATGACCATATTTGTTTAGGTAAATAGTGTTGCTAGGATTACAAGCAATATTTACCTTTTTATATAAATGGGAAAAAATAAACATTGTTTCTACTCTGTTTTTCAGGAGGCACATTTGTCTTTTATTGTATATTGATGTTGAATAGACATAAAATAAATTATTTCCCATATAATGCAAATCTTATAAAAACGAATTAGCCAGATCCACAGACCATGATGAAACTAACATTAACCTGGTTTAAGTTGTGGCCCTTTGTTTAGCTGGAAAAAATGAGATCCTGTGTAGTGTAGTTAAAGTGTAGCTAGGCTGGGACTTTGGAGAATTCAGCCCCACGCAGCCGTGAAGAGCAGGACTTTGGGCCAGTCAGCTGAACCTCCCTTGCAGACTTATGCAGATAAAATGGGGGGAAGGATGACCAAGGGTCACCATTTGCCTTGGGATCCTTACAAGAGGGAAAAAAAGTGTGATGTAAATGTAATAATATCAAAGCAAATATCCTACAATTTCCACCGTTTTTCACCCAGACATTCTAGCTGTTTTAGGGTTTGTTTTCTGTCCACACATGCATGGGATTTTGCCATTAAAATAAAAGGGCATAGGTCAGTCTAGTTAAATGGCCTGAAGTCCCACTTGAAGTCAAAGAGAGACTGAAACATGTGCTTAGCATTTCAGTTGAAATGAATGGGACTTACAAGGTAATTTATTTTGGCTGAATCATAGTATAAATGATTCTTTCCAAAAATACTATATTTGCATACCAACAGCTTGAGTCATGTAGCGATCATGTCTGATCAACACCTAGTTTCAGTTTATCTCTATCTATGAATCGTGTCATTTCCCTGAAAACACATCTTTGGTTACCTTCAAAGGGTCACTAGAGGGTTCTTGAAAAAAATTGGCAAAATTTGCATTTATTTACAGGAAGAGAAGTTGAACACAGGCAGAGGCACAACTTGAATCAGAGGTGCCCACCCTCAGGCCTGATGAAGAAACGTGACATGCCAGGCCTGGGTCCTAATCCATTCCTTCAAGTTCGCCACACACCCCTTTCCCCCGGTCCCCTCAACTCCAAGCCTTTGGTTGTTTCCAGACTTTTTTTTTTGAACGCCCCCCACCAGTTCTGAAAGCTAGAATGACTTCTCCAGGGGCTTAGTGTACTGGCAGCAAGAGCTGTAAGCAAAAAGAGTTGTATTCAAAACATGTGGATTTTGGGGTCAAGTCCCCTCTTGACTTTGGGCGCCCCCACCTGCAGCTTGTGAGAGCTTCTTCATGTGGACTTTTGGCCTTCTGGCTGAGAGAGGTTCTTGCTTAACTACTCCAACAGATTCTACTCCACTGCTCCAGAGTCTAATGTTACGCTCTTAATTGTGTGTGTGTTTCAACTTCCATCAGTGCAAATCCGTTTAAATGCAGACTATGTCACTATAGTCCAAGGTTGGAGAAGCAGAAGTGGGGAGAAAGAGGCTGATGACAGACCTGCAGTGTACTTTACCCTGAATATTGAAGGTCAGCATTAGACCAAGCTAAGGAAGTGGTTTGCAACCAATGTAGGCCTGTGTTGGTGGCACTGACATCTATCAAACATTGAAAGCTTAGACAGAAGCTAAGGGTGGCTTACAAACATCCTTCAATGTTGTTTACCGCAGCTGTCCCACAGGTTGGGGCTTTCATGCAACAAACCTGTGATACAGTGTTCCCTTATTAAACCCAACTCTTGCAGTTTAGCCACCAGCACTGAGACATTGTAATTTACAATAAGTCTCTAATATTATCTATGATTTAATATTACAGGTTAAAAGGTGGGGCTGAATTTGGCTTGAAGCCAATCCCCCAACCATGGGTTGCAGCAGTCTATTTACATTGCTCTTCAGACCTTATCCTAGAGCAAATCCAGGATTGTGTGGAGAATTAAATTGCACAGCCAGGATACCCTCTTGAATGTATAAGTAAATGAATCATTGTCCCCCACCCACTAAGAGCTAATTAGCAAATAGCAGGGGCAAGGACTCCTGTTTTTGTAGCTACCTTTTTATCTGTGTGCCTCCAAGGTGGGCAGGTTACCATTTGTCCAATTATAGATTCAATACAATCTTGGGAAGGTTCCATTGATTTCTACTGAAAAGGGGATTTCTACTGATTTCTACTCTTTCCCTGAAAAGGGGCTGAGCATGTGTGTACTGAAATCAAGGCATCAGACTCCTCCTTGCAGCACCCTAAAGTCTAGGCAATGATGCTAGGGTGTAAGCCAGGAGAAGGCTACCCAGTGTGAGGACTTAATCTTGCTTGCAGTGGCTTGTCTGGCCCCAGTGGCACACCTCTTCTCAAGCCCTTTGGCCTGCAAGAAATGGTGCTTGTTGCCACTTCTACTTTCCTTTCCTCACGTGAAGAAACAAATGCGGGACTACAGAGTACTCTGCACTAAACTTTTCGTGGATCAAAGCAGGGGTTGGCATTCCTGGTCATTGGCCTTTCTAGCAGGGGCTTCTGGGAATAGAAGTCCAAAACATTTGAAGGTAGATTTTCTTTATCGGATGTATAAAGTGCGATTCTCAGTTGACAAGCATTAGTATCCACTCTATACAGTAAAAGGGTAATGGAAGGTTACAAAAATTTAAAAAAATGGAGAGCAACAAGTTTTGTTCAATAATTCAGTCAGAGCTTGAATTGATGCAAGACTATCAAAGTGGCAGGATTTGTGATAACACAGCGCAGTCCTGAATAAATGAACAGGCGCAGTAAGACAAGAACCCGATGCTCTCGTTCAAAGGATCAAAACTGGCAACTAAACTTTCTGCTAAACTGAGCTGCAGTACTTTCACGCGGGACTTTCTCTCTACGTTCGCTGCTACTACAGTCACGCGTATCAAGCGCAGGCACTGAAATAGAAATATAGAGTCGCACAGCACCCCCTCCCTCATTAGCACCTCAGGTACCACTAAGCCAATCTCCCCAGTCTTGTTTCCCGTTGCAAAGCATGCGGAGTGATGCGAGTTTTGTCTTTGTCATGGGCACACAAAGCGAGCGAGAGCGACGCCGACTCATTCTCAGCAGCAATCATGGCTCCTTTCCGCGTTAGCGAGGGTTTCGGTCTGCAGGCGACTCTGTAGTGCTTTCCCTTACTTATGTCTACGGGCGCAAAGGCGGACGTGCGCCCAGCCACGCTCTTCCCGTTCCGCAGGCGTGGGCGGCTGCCTCTTTTCGTCGTTGCACCGGGCGGCAGACGGACAGGGCGCCATGGAGGCCGGGGAGGGCGTCCAGGTGCGCGAGCGTGGACGGACGAGCCCCGGCCCCGGCCCCGACGCGGGGGTCTCTTCGGTGGCAGCTGCAGAGGTCTCGGCCCGAGGCCCACCCCTCTCCGGCACGTCCTACTGGCTGGACTTCTGGCTCCTGATCCTCTTCGACCTGGTGCTCTTCATCTTCGTCTACCTGCTGCCCTGACGGAGGAGGGCGCGGGCCCAGCCCCACAGGTGTGTCGGGGCGAGGAAGGGGAGCAGCCCCTTCCCCCCAGGGAGCGTGGGGGAAGCCGTACCGCCAAAAAAGAGGAAGCGAACAGTAGCCAGAGACACGCCCTCCTGGGCCATAAAGCAGGATCCGCGGCCAGGCTGTCCCGGGCCGGAGCAACCAGACCGTCGCCAGACAGACAGCAAGCCTTGCCTTCTCCCGGCCCCGCCCTTGCGCGGGAGGTTCAGGGGCTGTTGGAGCCGTTGCCGTGTTTAGGGCAAGCATCTGTATTCAGCCTGTTGGAGAAGATGCAAGACTCCTTGTTGACTGTGTAAGGAAGACTTGACCCACTGACCGCTTTGGAGAGGTTCACAGCTAGAGGGTGGTAACCGAGCTGATAGCCAGGGCATAAGGTTATTGAACCCCGCGACAAAGGTGTGAAGACCGCTTTGCTTTTAAGGCAGTGGTTGGCCACCCTTCAGCTGAAGTCTGCTAATAAAGAACTAGTTTTGAGTCTACATTGTGTCTTTGCTTCCCTCTTGAAACGACTAAATTTGCATAAGGCCTCTCAGGAGGCGAATCATAGGGTCTTAAGATGGGGTGTAAGGGGTGGCTGCAATGCAATCCTGTAGGTACTTACTCAGGAGTAAGGCTAGGTCAGTTGAGCAATACTTCTGGGTAAATGGTGAAGGATTGTATGAAGCCTTAAGTGGGTTAACCCAGGGACAACTCTTGGGGCATGGAAACATCTGTCAGTTTGAGATGGGCATCACCACAAGGGTGCCTAGAGGCGTGGCAGAAGTTGACCAAGTATTGAATACAATTCAGAAGTGGAGGCCCTTATAACTTAAGTTTTCAGCACTGGCAGAAACATGCCTCACAGCATCCCTAAAGTGCTGAAAAGGAAACATGTAATTAAAAGAAAAAAATTGGTAGAGCAACTTGGGCAAGGCTCTTACAAACCGTATGTAGTTGTACCCTAGTAATGTTGGAGTATAGAAGAAAACTGTGTATATTGTGAAAATGTGATTTTTATCAGCCATTGTTGGAATTTTTATAATTGTGCATGGCAGCGATTTTCATAGTTTATATGTTGAGTGAAAAAGTTTTGTTTTAAACTTCCCACTAATTAGCTGCATGGGTTCTCCCGTTATGGGAGGGGGGGGAAGTCTTCTTCTCCACTTTCTCTATACCATGCATTATTTTAAGTTCCTCTATCATGTCTCCCCTTACTTGTCTTTTTTCTAGTATCAGTTGTTGTAGCTGCTTCTCATAGGGAAATGCTCCAGCCCTCTGATAATTTTTATTGCCCTGCTCCGTGCTTTTCCAACTCAATGTCCCTTTTCAGGTAAGGTGACCAGAACTGAACACAATATTCCAATTGAGGTTACACCAAAGATTTGTGCAAGAAAAGCAAGATTCCGGCAGTTGTATTTTCTATTCCATTCCTAATTATGCCTAGCATAGGGTTTTCCTTTTTTCACAGCAGCTAAGCACTGGGCTAACATTTTTTTTAAAAGATACAAATACAAAAATCATATGATAAAGAAAAAAGCACAGTATACAAAATAAAAATGTTTAAAAAAAAAAACCTAGGCACCCCTTCACTGGGACTATGACTTCCTGTATTTTTTTTTTCCTTTTATTGTTCCATTCTTACTGAAATATCCCCTTCCATCCAAAAGTGCAGTACATCCATTGGAGGTTCAGTACCTTCCCTTTTTATTAATACCTGTTCAAACAACCCCCATATTAAAATCATTCTTCTTTAGCAATCCTTTTTTCAACTGTATCTCACGTGTCAAGTTGTCATTAACTGCTATATTTCATACTTCTTTATACCATTCAGTTAACTGGAGATTCCATTTCTCCTTCCAGTTCTTTGCCATTATCAATTTCGCTGCTGATACAAAATGTTAAGCAAACTGACTTATAATTTCCTGGATCCCTTTTTTTAAAAACTTGGTTTTAAATTGGCCATTCTCCAATCCTCTGGAATAAACGCTGATTTTAGGGACATCTTTTGGTAAGAAATACTCATGTTGAGTTTTTGGAGAAATTTGGATGGAGTTCAGTGCACAACTTAGATGCTAGGATACTGAGACCTTGATGTATTACTGATTTCTAGACTTGCATTTTGTGAAATGGTTTAAACTTTCTCCTGAGCAATGTCATCACTAATTTCACTGAGAGTGTAGAAAATGTTCAGAAATGTATAGTCTATAGGTTGGCTGCAGTCCTGGATTCATAATCCTGAGGGAACGCCACTTCATTCAGTGAGTTTTGTAATGTATTTCAGAACTGTAGTTTTACTCATCTGTTGGCAAATTACATGCCCCAGAGTGCCACATAAAGTGTTGCATGGGCAGCTGTGGGCACCATCCACACACCACTGGTTATATCTTGCCCCCCTTTTCCAGCAATTTTACATTATCAGCAGGAACAAAGGGTATGACAACTGGGTAACATTGTGGATATCCTTGTACTGAGGAAAGAGAGTGACTCTGCCAGCCCATGGCCAGTGTACGTCCCCCATCTCTGTCTGATTGATTTCTGTCTGTGTGACCTTAAATTTATAGAAATCTTTGTACTTAGGCTACTCAGATTTTATATGTATCCAACAGCCACTTCTGGCAAATCAGCAGGTAGGCTGATCAAGAACACCTATTTGCCAAGTTGCAGTGACTGTGTAGCACTGCACAGCAGCAGGAAATTAAGTCTCAGCCTGTTCCCATTTTGGAGGCTGGTGGGCTTAACTGTGGTGTGTATATCCTGTATTGCACAGGGCATCCTTCTTAATGTCATGTGCTAGAGGCAGCTAGTACTGCTGAAGCAGCTGAACAAGTATGCGTGCATTGTCCCTAGCCCACCCTCATCATACTGCAACCCAGTGGGAAATTTAAGATAGCACATAGGTAGTTCAGGAAGTTTTTGCCCCATGTCGTGAAAGTCACTGTCTTAGATGACTTAAAAGTGAATTTGGTCCATTCATGGCTATGAATGGGTACAAGTCATGACGACTGTATACTGCCACCATGTTCAGAAGCAACATGCAAATGAACTATCGATTAATTGAGGAATGCTCACAGAATAGGCCTTCATATTCATGTAGGCATCTAGTTGCTCACTATCCAGATGATGGACTAAGTGGGCCTTCAAATTATCACAGAGCCACTCCTATACTGACACACTTGCTGGACTGAAAATGTGTCTAACTGCAGTTTGTTTGTTTGATCTAACAGGGCAACAAAGGTCTACTCCAGAGCATCCAACATGGTCACTCCTTCAGCAACACAGCTGTGTAGACTGGCAATAACATTAGAAAATTCTAACATCACAAAAGAAGTTCTGTCTGTGACAACTCTGAACTGCTTTGCTAAGCCTCCTAAATTTTGTGATTAATGAAATTGGAGTTGTGATGTTGTTTGGACTTTTATTCTTCAGCTTGAAATGCAAGTTGTGCCTTATGTTACCTGTTACGGAAGTGGTTGAAGGTTTCAGCTATGTTGAAAATCATAATTTACAGTAATTATCTATGCATCCTGCACTTTAATAAAGAATAATTTAACAAAAGACAACCCTGTCTTTTGTAATGATATTCAGAACAGTTTAAGAATCTTTTCTATAAGTGTGTAATACAGTAAAACTGTGGACTAGGTAATCAATTCTAAGGGCCAAAGTAAACATAATGGAACAGCTACATTTTTATATGTAACTGATGTGTTCACCTTTAAAATGTCTTTACAACAATTCTTTCCCACCCAAGCTTTAGCATAGTTTGTAATCTAGATTATATTAGTAAAATGCACAGGAAAAATGTTTGATATGGGAGCATTATCTTCCCCTCACACACACAAAATGTGAACCAGGCAAACACATAAGATGGCTACTTTCATGGCATCCAGCTTGTGTCGGCATTGTTTTGCACTTGTACTGAAAGGATCAGGCTGTATAGAAAAAGGTTTTTGTTTTTTTTTAAAGAGCTTTTATATTAAAAAATGAATGTTTCAAGATGCCTAGAATGCTAGGCAGAACTTTCTTGAATATGGAGATTAGATGACAGTACCACTCCTCATAAATTTAACTGCTGGTAAATCAGGATAATTGAACAGAAACTGCCTTGAAGCATTGAATAATGTAATTCTATATGCACTTAGCTAGGAGTAAATATACTGGGACTTAATTTTGAAATATATCTACTGAATGTTCATATGAAGTACTTAAGTATTCATTTAATCAGCTCTTATAGAACACAAGTCATTAAAATACAGTGGGTAATTTATAGATGTAATGCTGAATAATTACACACAGCAGAATGCAAATTGATAAAGAATTTTCTTTTAAGTGTTGTCTTCATTGTGCTATCTGATGGCAAATGTTCAAATCTGAATCAAGATTAGACTCACAGTTGTGTATAAACTAACACAAAGTGGAATGTTCTTGCTTTGTTGGAAAAAAGCACCAATAAAGCAAATCTTACTTGGCATGCAAATATGTAATCTAAGTAGAAAAACATATAGGTTAAATTTTATATGTCGTTGTAACATGCAAAAAATAGGATTTTCTTAATTTCCTTAACTTATCCTTTACAAGACATTAAATGATTTTAATATTACAAAATCATATGAAGGGAACAGTTACAAAAATAGGCATACTGAAAAAGCCAAAAATCAGTGTGTTCCCATTGACAGTAATTTTTCATTGATTAACAGTGCAAGATCAGTTATAAAAATTGACTAGGAGTTACAAGCAAATAAACATTATCTGATAGCCATCAATCTGTACAAAAGGCCAGATAAAAAGACTGAAACAAAGATAACTCCTTTAAAGTATATATGCATTTCAGAATGTATGATACTATTCAACAATTTTCTAATAAACAGAATAAAAGTTTACTATTTGTGCTTATTAGCACTAAAAATAAATGTACAAGTTAAACATTTCTCATTTGTACAGAAAGTGAACATTTGCTATGCACATTTTTAAAATGTAATAATGCTTTTACAGCAGGTCATTCACATTAGTTTACATAAATACTGCAAATTCAGATACATAATTTCAGTTAGAGCTTTCAGTTATATACTTAAAGATTCCAGTACTTGTTACAAATCCATTTCTATTCATGAAGGCTTTATACTATTACACATCATCTGTGTATGAGAAATGAGTTATTAGAAACAACTTTATACAGTTGCTTTTAGATGAAGTTCCTTTTGTCTTATATCAAAGGAAAAAGGTTCAATTTCACTTGCAGTCAATAAATATTACATGTACATGCTTTCAATAAAGCAATATTTCTGTAGAAATACTCTGAAGCACTACTGAGAAGGAAAGATGAAAAGGAAGCGACAGGATGTTAAGAACTGCTGTAAAATATTTGGTCTGCTGCATAACATTAAGTAACAAATCTTAGGTTACATTTGCGGTTAAGACACTCTCAATGTAAACTCAAGAGGCCTATTCAGACATCACTTCATCCCTATAAATCTATACAGCATATGACTAAGTCAGAAACATTCCTCTTTCAACTAAATGTGAGGTCTCCCAATTAAGTCATTACTTTCTCCCCATGCAGCCCAAGCAAGCTCCCAAGTTTTGGGCTAGGTAGAATTTTGGGACAAAGTTATGTCTTGAATAAGCCCAAAGCTGATTGTCACCATTTGGTTAAATGCACAAACCTGCATTCTGTATTTGACTACAGTACAAGCATTTGATTATTTTAAAATATAGCAACTTATTACTAGGCTTAACAATAAAAGGCATTTTTCTCAGGATCTTTGTAGGCCTTACTTTAGTCCAAACGCTTAACAAAAGGGTTTTAAAAACAGGATTGTGCCATATAATTATTTTTTTCCCAACACCTAGATGGGAAATCATCTAAACCAAAGCAGAATTGCTTCAAGACCAGTTAAGTGATCCCATGACAAGACCTCCTAAGGAATATTTTTCCTGTGCCTATCAAGGAGTTTTAGGAAAACCAAATCATTTTTTCCATACAAGCAGATTTAAGTACTGTTTTTTCACAGAAAAGTTAATATAAAAATATATTTTACAATTCATGATGATGATTTTTTCCTGTAGCACAAGTATAATCATAAATGGTGTCTACTACATACAACTGCTATACACAATCTGCAATATTTAAAGTAGGGTGTGTGGAACATCAACTATTGCTATTTGAAACCCTAGCTACCATTTTATATATTAAAATAAACTCTAAGCCACCCATTAAGGCATCATTTCAAATATTAAAAACAGCTGGATGTTTTCAGAAATTGAAAATAAATGGCTGAGGGAACTTGAATAAATTATTAATTTCTGATTACTATAAAATCTACTTCCATAGCATTTTTCTGATTAAAGATACCATCCTGCACATAGTTTGATACCAGCATATCAATCCAGTACTTAAAGGAATCCAAGTCAGACTAAAATAGAAGTTTTAATGTGAGACTACAACCATAAACATCTCAATTTGACTAGTTTAAGAAGGCAAAGCAGTAGTATCAACTACTGCAAATTTTTATTAAGAATACCTGAATAGAAAGGGAAAATCTAGTCTACACTCCCCATTAAATGCACTTCACTTTTCACAATCTTGCAAGGGATTCTAGATAGAATTATTTCTCAGAGCCACTACTTTAAAATGTTTAAAGGAATAATTTCTTTCATACTCTGATAATTGAGCACAACGTAAGGCCTGTGAAGATTTTTGCCCTGGAAGTAACCAGCTCATAGGCAAGTACCTAACTAAATATTGACACCACAGAGCTATACAGATTTGGAAAAGTGGACTTAAAAGTCAGAGGTGGCATGCAGTCCATGTATGTCTACCTTGCACAAATATATTTCCCTTAGCTTATGTATGCTAAAGAAAGAATTATACATGCTCTCATGAGATAGTAAGTTCATGTGGGACTGTAGCTGTTCAGTTTTACATGAAGAGTTTTTAAGAAGTGCCTCCAGAGAGGGAAACAATTCACACCCCTTGTAAAAACTCCCCTCACACAGAATTTAACAACTTTCATATGGGGACAAAAACTCCCAAGTAATCCCTTTGGTGTTACAGGCCCCTATGAAGACTATACTACTTTGCTATTGCATGTATCCTTTGGCTGTATGTTTCTAAATGTAAAAATAGAATAATCCTTACAACATTTCATCATGGTTCATTAAGCCATATAAAGTTATGGATGGATTCCAGCCCCGTGCCTCAGCATTCCTCAAACTGTGGAATATTACTGTATGTCAGAGAACACTCACATTAAATATAAATACCCACACTTAAACATTTCAAACTGTGTAAACAAAATGTTGCTTTAAGATTAAATGATAGATACATGACTAGAATGTAATGTAAAGAAAGTGCCCTAAAACATAGATTAGAAACTAATAAATTCAAAAAACCGAGTTCAGGACCAAAAGATAGTATTTCCTAGCAATCTGTACACATTATCTTGAGAAGATGTTTGGAGTCAAGTCATTTAAAAAGAAGCAGCATTAGTTGCAAAAAGCAAGCTGTTTTAAAAGTGTAACAATTCTGTCTGAATTTTGCATTAGCTTATAATGGGTGCAAATATTTTTAAAGTATAAAAATGACAGCTCAACAAGTCTTTGACTGTTTCTTGATCACAAATTCATGTGCAAAATACAGCTCAACAGCTGTATCATCTAAAAACTATTTTTGAGTTACAGAAATCACATCAGGTTGGTGTGCCAAAAATTTATGTTCATACATGACACCCCCCTTTTACCTACTGCAATACATGTTTCCAATGTTAAGTTTATGTCTCTGCTCAGCTGTGGGATAATCCGATTCAGAAGTATTATGGTATGAAGTATTCAGCATAGTTCCAGTTGGTGGTAAAGCGGTTTCTTTGTTTAACACACCAGTATCAGCAAAATACAGTTTGGGTCTCTGGTGGTATTTCATCCTATATGTATCAGTCATACAGTTGTCAACTGAAAAATAAGTAGTAAGCGATACAATATCATTTGCATTTCCATCAAGAGAGCTAGCATTTGGTCCTTTGAGACATGCCCCCTTATTTGTAGGAGTATTGGATACAGCCCATGAATCATTTACTGATAAACTTGATGAAAAATCTGTCTTGGAGGGCTCATTTCCATGAAATGATGCTTTAAGTCTTTCATCATCTGTATATGGATTTGCTTCAGGTGTAGCTTTTGAAGTAAAACTTGCAACTTGCCTGTCGGTATTTGAAGGATTTGTGCACATCACTTCTGTTTGTTTTAACTCCACAGTGGATTCATGTTCTAATCCATGCAATCTAGTCAGAACATGTTTCTTTGGTGGTAGAGGAGGAGGAAGATTTTGGTAAATTGCTTCTGGTGTATCATCAGTCTTGCCACTATACAAGTGAACTTTATGCTCAGCAGATGAAGCTGGTTCATTATAGGAAGGTTTGGATATATTCTGTTGTAAGAAAAATGCAAGTGCTGGTTTAGATCTAACTGGCTTCATGTGAGGTGACTGCAAATGGGAAGATAATTCACTGTTGTTCTGAAACCTTTCAGGCATGATTACATTCTCACCATTATAAGAACCAACTGAACTGTCAGCACTGTGCATTGGTATGTTTGTTTCACCAAGTGTATCTTCATTAGGGCACCGCACAGAGCTTTGCTCAGTTAATGCGCTGTTCTTCATTTCTTTCTCAGTGTGGTCTTTTGAAGCAGCCTGTTGTGTTAATGGCAAAAACTTATTGCAGTCAGGTACTTCAGTCCTAGAAGGAGGAAAAAGTGTTAAAGCACTAATGACTGAAAAGGCGGTTAAAACAGCAATTTGATTCTTGTTAACAGTAACAGAAATTTTATACTATTACAGTTGTTCTTGATCAGCCATGTATTTTAAAAAGCAAAGCCAGTTCCCAGTCATTGCCATACCACAGAATCCAGGATAGCATATGCTAATAGGCAGGACTACATAGATATGAGCAGGTTTAATTATCAATGGGATCACCAGGTGCAAAGAACCAGTTTTAAAACCCCATCCTGATATACAGGGTGGGCTGAAAGTAGTTTTTGAGAGGAAGCCTCACACAGTGGACAAACTGAAGGCATTCTTCTTGTAAGCCTTTCAAAAGCAGGGGGTAGCAGCACAAAACATGCTGGCAACATGTGGCCCCCAAAGCCTCCCAGTCCAGTTCACACTACCCTCCAAAGTCACAGGGCATCATCCCTGACCCAGATGTATTTTTGTGGACAAACAAGCTCGTTTTGATTCTTTTGGGACACTGTAGCAACTCCAGATACCATTTTATTTTTAAATTACCCATTTTAAAAGTGCAGGGGGTTAAAGGCAGCTTTCACAGGAGCAAAATGACTCCAGCCCCTCCCAAAGTTGTCCACCTATGCACTGAAGCATTTTTGTTGCCAAACAAATTGTTTGCAGAAGTTGAAAGGAGGGAGGCATTGAACTCAATCCGGTAGCCTTGCCAGGACCCAGGCACCTGAAATTATCACTCCCCTTACATGGTGCAAGTAATGGAATAGAATGGCAAAGACAAAAGGACAATAAGGAAGAGCCAAAAGCACTGCTTGCCACCACAGGCACTCTTCCACTTACTAAGCTGCTAATGAGATGGTGGATACGATCTCTTCAATGTCAGAGAGGGAGAAGGACAAAAACGCTCACTCTGCTGGATAGCAAAGAATGATGGAGGCTGATGGGGTAACCTAAGTTGCCTACATGGCAGGGCCAAACTAGCTCAACCCTATCTTCATCATTAGGATTTCTGCTTCTCCAACAAGTCTGTATCATCATGTGGCTTGGAACTGAAAACTTCCCATTGAAGGAAAGGTCCTCTACCTGCGACCAAGCATTTTGTGAAAGTTTAGCCAAACGCGGCCATGCATGCCTCCACTGCAATCACACTGAACATGCTTTTGCATTACAGTCAGTTTGATAATGAAGAGTATCTATCTGCTGTCTTGATAGTTTCAATATCTCCACTTGAAACATTCTGATCAGCTTCTGGTGGTCATCCAGGAATTAAGAGTGATAAATATCTTGCAAGTGTTGCTTGGTAATTTGCTATGTGAAAGCCAAGAGCTGCAATGGATCAGATCTAGATGCCAATCAGATCCAAGAGGCACCCTTCTTTTGCAACACAGGAAGTGTCACTTCTGTTATTTCCCCTGAGCTGATGCCATTATAAAAGAGTTTGGAAGTGGGTAGGAGAAATGGAATGTTGTGTCTTCTTGTATTTTGTATACATTCTCCAATCTCTTTGATATGGGCATACTGGATGAAAGAGTCTTCTAGGGCTGTTGAAAGGTCTGGGAAATTGCTGGAGAAGGAGTGGAATGGCTACTGGTGCTGTTGCTTCTGCATAAACCATGAATACAAGCTTTTCAACCTTTGGGATCAGCTGTTAGGTCTCCATGTCTAATGGCCTATAACTTCTGACAAGGAGGCACAATCCCTTGAGTCCACTGTTGCATCTGGAGAAGATGGGAGAAGAAGGCAGCAAGGAACAGAGGGAATCTGAATGGCAGTCCTCTCCTGAAGAATAAGGAGAAGGATACTTATGTAGTCTAGGCTTGACATGAACCACAGACATGGGAAAGGGAACTGATGAAGGCTTTGGTGACTGATACTGTCTCTCCTTAAGGTTGGAGCTTGGAGGAATAGTAGGCCTGGACTGTGAGATCTGAGGCAGCAAGGTAGCTGCCTGTGGGCCATTGTCCTGCAGGCAGGTTACCAAGCAACAATAATGGAACAGTTGGTAGAGAGGAGACACACTCATCCAGTATCTGCACAGGTCATAAGAAAAGTCCTGTGGATGTAGAAACTGCCATTCATCTTAACAGCATGCACAGTGAGATGGCAGGAACCAATAATATATGATCTCTCCCAATCTGAGCACAGTGAACAAGAGCATCTTGGTGAACATATTGAAAGTCACTTCTGTCCAGCCAACCCATACCAAAACATATGTAATCCCAGTATGGGTCATATCAAACTTGAAAGGTAGTAGGCACTTTGCATCAGTCCTAAATCTCAAGCTGGAAATGAGTTTTGGATTCTTCCTTCTGAAATCAAGATATTTGGGATGGTTTCCTGTGTCAATACTGGCAGCAAAACTAGCATTGGCAAATCCATTTTTAAAGAGTTCACAGTATCAACCTCAGAAGCAGCAAACCATGAGCTCTTTTCAGCTCCCTTCTCTTCTTTTGTGAAACTAAGTTTGGAATTCTCACCTTTTTTGAAAATTTTTGAGAGGTGAAACTAGCCAAAGATATCTCTAGCATTGGAGGGTCACATTCTGCAGCTACAGCCTGATTTGTGGTGGGAAGGAAGCAGCCCCTTGTACAACAGTTTATATGGTTGAGAGCAGATAGTATTTATGCCCTTAGGATTTCCTTAACTGTTTCCAAAGTCCTCTTCCACAAGACTGTAAAAAGCCTGTCAGACTTGTTTCACCTGGCCTGCCTTGTAACAGCTCAAAATGTATTTACAACATGGTTTTCTTCAGGACAAAACAAGTGTAAGAAATGCCCACCAGCATGAGGGAGAATGCTGCCACACCTCCAGTATTTGTGTAATGGTGCCTCAAGGGTAATACACCTTCATGACACCCACATGATAATGTGATCACAAAATAAATCAAGGCTGGGGGAGAGGGTGACTATATTTGTGGGGCCCCAGCCACTAGCATACTACCCATTAATCCTTCTGCTGAGGTATTCCCCAACGACCAATCCAGCCCTTTTCCCCAAAAATTGGCTCATCTTTGTTTCAGACTATATATGCATAGTTAAAAACATTACCTTTTCAATGGTGGACTGTGCATTGGCAGATGAGATGCTGGCAGTACGTTATGAGGTCTGTAGTTAATATGGGTGTTCACCTGTTCTTTCTTCAAGGCTGCAAAACAACATTACTGCTTACCTTTAGGGTATTTCAATATTTATTTACACTATTAAGAATTAATTGGATTTCTATAAATGCAAAGAGAAAGTACCAGTAACAACAGCAACAGCAACATCTTGCAAGTTTTTCATTTTTCCCCCTTCTCAAAAAACCCTTCTGAAATTCCATGGTTAAATATCAACGAAGCACAAGATATTCTGAGGATTCTCTTTAGACAGCATGGAAAGCAGCAAAATTCAACCCCATTCAATTCTCCGTTTCTGTAACTGAACATCGAGCCCAGGAAATCCAGTTCACTGAATGTATTATTACACCTAATTGCTCTTGCTCACATTTTAGTTTGTTTTCTGAATTATACTGATGACCGTAAGCTGGTCCAAGATTGAAGTGGAAGGTGTGGGATATAAAGATTTGCATGAGTTAATCTGGATTTACAACATGGTATAAAACTGGCATTAGCAGATAGGAGCTACAGAGACAGGGTATTCCTTGGTGTTAGGATCTGCAAAGTGATGCAACTCCTCAGGTAGTTTGCAGTCTGATCTTGCAAGATTGGCATGGCATCTGCAGGCATTTGCAAGATTAGGATCAGTGTAATGTGCAGACTAGCTAGGCACAGAAGTCCTGTTCAGTCCTGCCCAGCTTTGCCAAAGCATAAGCCTTTGCGTTGGCTGCTGCCTCACAATCCTGATCTGGCATCTGCCCCCAGGCCTGTAGCATCTTCACTTGTGTCTTGATGCCTGCCTGTTTTTGAGTCTACATTCACCTCTGGTCCTGCCATGTTGTGATAGTATCTGGCCCTTGCTTGTTCCCAACTTTGCTTTACCTCTGGTCCTGCCATGTCTAGCTGATATCTGACTCTTGCTTGTTCCTTACTCTGTCCTCACTTTTCACCCTATTACATCTTGCCAGGATTGCATACCATCATCACCCTCGTCCTGGTGTTCCAGCTGAGAATGCCTGCTACTTATGTGCCAGAGCAGGCACTAGTAGTTGCTGACTTTACAAATAAATGATGCAAAAGGGACATATTACTATTTTGGTGGCAAAACATAATTTTATACCAGTACTAAAGGCAGATGCACAGAGCAAACATTTAGAATTTAGGAACCCAGTGCAAGTCTTTCTGCAATGCACGGTTTGAAAACACTTTTCTATGTTTGAAAACATAGATATTCATGCCAAAGTATTCAAGTTTTAAATAGCCTAGTACTGATGTAACTTGAATAAAAGTACAAATTGCTATGTTCTCTACACAAAATACCGTTTAGTTTTAGAGGTGAAGTGCTGTGCAGTTACATATAGACACCAAAAGGTGGCAGAGGAAGCTTATGATAGGAAGCTCCTACAAGGTATTGCTATGGCAAGCATTCAATCAAAAGCTGCTCACTGACACCAGGAGGCTTATGCTTTCAGAATTCCAGCTAATTTAAAAATAGATGTGTTATTTTTCTCTTCTGCTGACATGAGGATCCATGCATGGTTAAAACCAGAGACAGTCCAGAAGGAATTTTGGCTCTAGGTTCTAGTCAAACTAAATATGGCTGATATTAGACATGCATAAGAGAGGCTTCACCATTATCAATGAAGCATTAACAGTTTAAAAAGCACAAGTACAATTTTGGCTTCCATTAACTGTAGAACTTGTTTGAAGAACTGTTTCATTGCAAGACCACTTTAAAATACTTGGACTGGACAAGCTTGCTGCTTCTCTGAATTAGTGAGCTGCATTTCAGAAAACAGTTTGGAATATAAAAGATAATCTCTAACAAATTTATATTAGACGTTAGGAAGCAACAATGCATGTTAATTTTTCTATGCACTAATGTGAAGTGAGAGGTAAACCAGAATGTTAATTTTACATAGCTGGAGCAGTATTATCTATGCACTTTTTAGTAAAGCATAATTTAACAAACTGCATTTAGGTAACACAACTGAATTCTTACCATCCAAAGAATTTTTGTTCTGCTGGGAGGTAGACTGCAAGACACACCCAGGATATCTGGATGACAGATTTTGGTCACTATGAAGGAAGATGTAGTAAATATCAAAACATTCAGATTCTACCCAAAAGTAAATGTATTCCATTAAGTCTAAAGTAAAAAACAACATTTCACTGAAATATTTACTGAACACCTCATATATCTCAAAGAATCTTTGTCCCCACTTCTTTCTCTGCCCACCACCCCACCAGATCTGCAAGTAATGCTACTTAACAATGAAATACTTTTTCCCAATTTTGTCAAGCAGTTCATCTACCTTTCATCAGAAAACACTCAGTAAATGAAGAAGCACCAATACACAGTACTTAATCAAGCAGATGTTAAACTGGAAAGCACAAAGATCTACAAAGGCATAGCCTTCTCATTCTGCTGGCATGCATATACACATATGCTCACACATGTCTATCCACTCACAACATATTTTGTCTGTGCCTTGATAGAAAAACAGACCATCCTTCATTATTTGTGAATAGCATAAATAAGTACATTGTCAAAGTTATATCTTACGAATACACAATATAAGTAGATGAGTTCTCATTTCTACCAATTAAGGTGCACTATCTTGTAGTTTATCAAATTAAGAGACATTTCTTCTCAATTCTATCTTAATCATACTGTTTTAAAATTCTATTTATTAACCAGTCAATTTTGTCATTCCCTTCTCTACTAATGGAGCTTTCTGAATGCTGAATAACTGGTCTATTGCCATTCTAGAAAATAGTACACTAAGCTTTGAGCAAATTTTTCCCCACCCAAAAATGTCATAGTACTATCCTAAGATGCTTCCTTCATCAATCTGACATAGATTTTAGGCAAAAAGCTTCTCATGGTGGCTATATTGTATACAAGAGTGCATATATGCATGCATGTGTAAACACACAGATACATACGAAGAAATCTAAGAGTCTTAGAAGACACTTGCTACTATTACCTGCAGGAGACAGTTACTTTAATGGTAGTGTCAACTGGGCTGGTTCCTTCGATGACAGGTGAATCCAGATTAGCAGAGGCATTGCTAATATGATCACTGCTTTCGTAACCAGATTCAGTTCTTTGTATCTGCCAGGTGTCAGAATGAACTTTTCTCTCTGTAATTCCTTTGCCTTTTTCTGCATTTCCTTTTCTTTCAGAATCTAAGGAACTCCGGTGTCCTGCCTGTTTGGTTTCATCTTCATAAATAGTCATCAAGCCTTTTGGACTTGGATTTTCTTTTGGCCGGTTGTTTGAACTGTGTTCCTTTTCAAGTTTAGGTTTATTGCTTGCATTTAGTTTGGGCTTTGAACTATGTTCCTTTTTTTCTGGCTCACTAAAGATACTATCTACATTTAATGTTTCTCGCATGGGTCTCCAGCCTCTGCTTCGACTTTTGCTGCTGCTACTGACACTTCCTTTATCTTTGGAGTCTTGGCTACTGTCTGTATCATAACCAGTGATGCTGTCAGCCTTTATGCGGCTCATCTTTTCTCCATCAGAAAAGCCATCCGTTTTATTTGAGCTCAACATCTGTGTGGTAGTTCTAATTGGGTTGTGTATTTTTTCATGTTTGTAAGGACCTCTGCCCTGACTACTATATACACGTTCATTTGAATGTTGCCTAAATCCATTTCCAGAAGGTGGTGATCCTGGCTTAAAATTAGCATGGATTTCTCCAGACAGATCTGTAAAAAATAAAAGCAAAATAGCATTTCTATTCTGTATGTGTTAAAAATATCCTGTTTACACTTTAAGACCATTTAAAGCTGTTTCAGGTGGTCCAGGGCCTGCTACATTCTGCCCCCAAAAGAGATATTATTGAACCCCCAGCAGCCTGCTGTGATGAATTTGCACACTTTGAGGGAAAAATTGCTTGGATTAGCTCTGACCTGGACACCACAGTTGCCCCAGTTCCATTGGCAGAAGCGTCCAACACATCATTTGGTCCTGCTTTGTTGGATCAATTTCAGTTACTGCAGTCCAATGTTGTGAACATGGTGCTTGGACAAGTCTGGCCCACCACTTGCCCACCATGGGAGAACTGGGGAGGGGGAGCGCACCTGGGTCCAGGAGTCTCTCAACACCTCCTTAAGGGAGGAAGTAGTGCTATCCCCTTTAAAGGTGGCTGTGATAACACCACTCCTAACAAAGATAGGCCTGGACCCAGGTGAGGAGAACAACTTTAAACCAATAGCCATTATCTCCTTCCTGGGCAAGGGATGGTGGGTTGGCAGTTCCAAGCACTTCTAGAGAAAACATATTATCTAGACCAATTTCAATCAGGTTTTCAGCTTGGGTTTGGGACGACACTGCCTTGGTCACCCTGTAGGATGACTTTTACCAGGAGAGAGACAGGGGGAGTGTGACCCTGTTGATTCTCCTGGACCTATCAGTGGCTTTTGATACTATCAACCATGGTATCCTTCTGGAACGGTCGGCTGGGTTGGAAGTTGGGAGCACTGATGTGCAGTGGTTCTGTTCCAACTTGACTTGACCAGTTCCAGATGGTGGTGCTGGGAAATGTTGCTCTGTGTCATGGTAACTGTGTCATGGAGTTCTGAAGGGTTCAATTTTGTCCCCCATGCTTTTTAACATCTACATGAAACCATTTGATCCAGGTGAGGCAGCAGCTGTCCTGTACAAAAGAATTTCAGAACACATAAAGCTAACATTAAAGATACTGGATTCTTTAGTCAGGGTACAAAAGAAGGATTAGTGATAGAAATTTTTGATTTTCTAAATAGTTACCTTTCTGTTTTCCAGATTCTCTCTTTGATCCTCTGTCTGCATCTTTTCTTAGGGAGGACAAATTTTTCATCTCTGCTACCTTCTGAGCACACTCTCTGGAAATGTCCTTTGCCTTTTCCCTATGTTCATTATGTCCCAATTTACCTACAACAATAGGTATTAATTTGATAATCATTTTAAAAGCCAGTAAAAAACTTTTCATGCTAAGTTTTGTAAGTAACATTGCCATAAAATAATTCAAGGATGTGTAAAATCTGTACCTGAGCTTCTGGCACCACTAGTATAAAAATGGTTTCGACTAAAGGCTGGGTTTTCAGGCTGATTTTTTTTAGTGGTCTTCTGAGTAACAATTTCTCCAAACCCATTCTCTTTTGTGAAGTCAGTCTTTGGAAAAGCAGACTTTTCAAATCCTAGGAAAAGCCATAAATATTTTTAATGAAAATGTTTACACATTTTTTTTACCAGTGCAATACACTGAAAAGAAATCCCAGCATAAAGCTGCAATCTAGAAGTCATACAGAAGTACTAAATGAATCAAATTTCCCACTGATGGTTTTTCATTTATTCCTAAATACTGGCTTAATTTTTAACCACTGAACCATGTAGATTATGCAACAATGTAGTTAAATAGAATATTATCTCATTATGACATGAGAACCTGCAATGGATAACCAATCATGGTGGAGGGTAGTGTCATTCAAATCCAATGCAGTCTCTGCAGGATGGCTTATTTTTCCACAGACAGACCATTCTGAGAACCTATAATCTTTTTTACCTATAGAGATAATGTCTGCAAAATATTCTCATATTTACAACAAGCATCCATATATCATTTGTGATGTTACATACAGGAATATTGGAACCAGTGCACAGGGCAATCTGTTGTCTCTAATTTCCAGTGCTAATTCTTTCTGTGTTGGTTCAATACTACCTTCATGAAAGCAAAGGAGCAAACAAAAAACTGTAATGCCTCTGCATGATTTGAAGAAGTAAGGACTTTAGCGACTGGGCAGATTATTTTAATCTGGTGAAAATGACTATGTTTGGTTGGTAAAGTGCAAATATTCAGATTTAGAAAATGATCTGATAAAGGCACTGTTTCTGCTTAGAGATTAACTGAGGAGTTAATATGCCTATTTACAGATATAGTATCAAACTTGTTATTGAAGTGAAACTTAGTATTTACAATTTACATTAAAAATCTGATTCATAAATTTTAAAAAATAGATTTTTTCTTTAAACAACTTTTCAAAAAATTCCTCCATCCTTCAATACCTCCATTATCCCATACCACTTTCAACATTAATGTGCATACCCAATATCCTATCTTTCTCCATTTATCAAAGTGAGTGTGCATCTATGTTGTTTCACCACAGGAATTCTAATCCCACTTCAGATTTGCCACCCCTGGGCTATAGTATGAAGTAGGATACACAGTATATGTTGCAAGTTGCCATCATGTAGCAAGTTTCCACATTCTGTGATTACCACTTTAATAAATCAGAAGGTGTAGGAAAACTCATCATATAGTGGTTGGTCAATCCTATCCAAGAAGAAGACAGAGTTAGAGGACCTGCTGTTTCCCTCTTCCTACCACTGAATTCAGTGACAGAACACTATGAACACTAACTGCACTAACAGCCTACATGCAAATCAAGCATTTCCTTCTTATCAAATAATGATTAATTTGTAAAGTCTTTATTACCAAGTTCTTCTCCACATCCTGCAGACGCCTTATAATGTGACCAATGAATTATCTGCCTAGGTGCATCTTCTGTTGATACAGGTGTGCCATCTGGGTTTGCATAAAAGAGCAGTAAGGGTTGAAAGTGGCAACGAATACACTTAGATACCACATCTTTCCATTTTGTTCCAACCTAAAATGTTTTCACCAAAAAAAGAGTTAGTAATTCGATGCCATTAAGAAAAACTTGCAGTTCAGTTTCAATAAAATAGAGATAATCTATACACAATTAACAGATTTCAACATCTCACTGAAGAGAATATTTAGATAAATAAAGCGCGTACTATTTTTATTTTGTCTTTTTGTAATCATTGACATATCAAATTCCCTCAAAGTTCAAAATAGAGAACATCCCTTTCATTTAAGCACCACCTTGTCAGAAAGGGTGCTCAATTTATCAAGCTTATTTTATTATTATTATTATTATAGCATTTCTATGCCGCCCCTTGCCGAAACCTCGGGGCGGCTTACAACATGATAAAATACATTGAAATACAATAGTACATAATAAATTACCATTAAATATAAAAATACAAAAAAGACATTGATTTACAAAAATAAAATTAAAATTATCAGTATAAAATAAAAATATAGGAGGAGAAAGAGAAGGAAGAAGTTGCCCTGGCCAGATCATATGTTTTAACAATTGAAATGATGTTTAAATAAAAAGGTCTTTACCTGGCGCCGAAAAACCAGTAACAACGGTGCCAGGCGGACCTCTTTGGGGATTGAATTCCATAGGTTGGGCGCCACCGCAGAGAAAGCCCTCATCCGGGTACTTACTCTCCTAATTTCTTTCATGGAGGGTTCCCGGAGAAGGGACTCTCCCGCAGATCTCAAAGGGCGGTCGGGCATATACGGACGTAAGCGCTCGTTCAGGTAGCCAGGACCCAAGCCGTTTAGGGCTTTGTAGGTCATAATCAACACCTTGAATTGGGCCCGGGCTTCAATGGGAAGCCAGTGAAGCTGACGGAGGACTGGAGTCATGTGAGCATAACGCCCCGTCCCCGTCAGCAACCTGGCAGCTCTATTTTGCACCAATTGAAGTGTTCGGACTGTCTTCAGGGAAGCCCCACGTAAAGCGCGTTACAGAAGTCAAGGCGGGAAGTCACCAGCGCGTGTGTCACTGTCGCCAGGCAGTCGTACTCCAGGTAGGGGCGCAGCTGATTAATCAGCCGAAGCTGAAGGAAGGCGTTCCTCGCTACCGCTGTCACCTGAGCTTCCAAAGAAAGCTCCGGGTCGAGGAGTACTCCCTTACCAGTTTTAGAATACATACAGGTGCTTATGTATAAAATGCATAAATACATACATGAATTCATCAATACATAAATAACTACATAAAATATCAAAACACTTACCTCTTTCACATTGGCATCGTCAAACAACACCCATTTATAACTCTTGGTATGAAAGGCAAAGGCACAGTAATGTTTGCTTGCGTAGCAAATCATTCCCACAAGATAAAGTTCACTATTTTTGGCATGTTCATCAGTAACCCTATAGAACAGCTGAAGAAATGATTTTGTCAGTCAGCTATGGGAAAGGATAAAGAGTGTGAAACTTCTGTACCTAAATTTAACATTTTGATACAGTTCTTTAGATTTTGATATACAAAACTCACAGCTGTAATTGCTGCCAAAAGTACTTCTACCAAGTATTGATTCAGGATGTGAATACTTCTTAATCAAGAAAGCCAGTTCATTTTTGTTTACTTTTGTGCCATAATTAAATTATTTTGCACCTTCAGTGTTCAGCATCTTGTGTACAACAAGTGCTAACAGTGTCTTTAATGAATTTCAGCCACAGGTTGTAACCCAACAAAATGTGGAAAGGTTGAAGGGGCTGAACATTTCTGCAAGGTATTGTAGTTCTTTTGATATAGTGGACAGGTAGGAGCTAAGAAATGCTAGGGTATTTCAATTACTCTTTTGCATTAATAACTTACATGGCAAATCGATACACTACTCAGAAGTCCCATTGCTTTCAGTAAGAATAGTTAGGGGCAAGTAACCATAATATTATAATGTTAATTTTAAAACATTAACATAAGCTATCATCTTTTCAAAATATTGTAATTTACTAAGAGTGTTAGAAGTAGTGAACTTACAAATCTACACACAGCAGGTATCTTGTAATAAGCTGTGTTAATGCATATATTAATAAAGATGCATTTAAAAAATAAGTTGCCCATTTAAGTGGGAGTACCTCTTTAATCTAAGCATACCGAAGCCGTTATTCTGCTTGAATGACTAAACAATGAAGGGGCACTAATTGTGCAATGCTCTCCTACAGGAGTTCTGTTTGACATTTGCTTTCTTTCTGGTGTCAGATGAATACCTTCCTTTCCCAAGGCTTTCAAATACATCTGACCCTAGATAAACTTTGTTCTATGCTGTTTTTATTTGTTGGCAGTTTTATATCCAGTCTGATCAAATTAAGTAATCATCAAATGCCTTCTCCTGTGCCTCCTCGGTCATCTGAATTTTAAAAAATAGTGATCAAGGAGAGAGTATCTGCAGTAGCAATGTCTTATCTATCAAATGCCCTTTCCAGCCACAAGGAGCTCACCTGGAACCAACACTAATGCTATTTTGACACTATGCAAAGACCATTTTTGTCTGGTCATTTCAGAATGTTTGCTTATTCTTAAGTAGGGGTGCTCTTAAATTGGACATTCACAGCTGGAAGACTGGGTGTAATTCAAATTTAAGGCATTTAAAAAAAGATAAAAACAAAGATGCAGCTGCAATCCTACACAACTTACTTTGAAATCAGTCACACTAAACTCAATGGGGATTACTTGTGAGTATAACCTGCAGTGTCAGACAAGCAGAAATGCCTCTGTCACAAAGTTTTCATAGAATTAGAAGTACTTTTAATTGGAGAAAGTGCGGTAGAAAAGTTATTTTCAGTATTATTATTCAAATACCCCTGGAAGATAAAGTTGTGTTGCCAGATTCCGGATAACATCTTCTGTCAGGTCAGAATGTTCTGAATCCCAGACTAAACCAATTGTGACGATTTCAGGACAATTCATTAGAACACGACGGATTTTTATTTTTTGGCCACAGTTACTCTAGAAAAAGTGAGTGAAAATAAAGAATATTCACTGCATGTAATGCACAAGTTCCTGTTTAGTCATGTTACTTAATCTGAACAAAATTGTTGCTAAAAACACTGAATGTTTAGTAATTAATCCCTTGATAATCTGAGTTTCCTGTTGCTACTCTCAAAAAGGATGCATGAAGAAATACAGATTACTGTTATTTAGTTCTCTGATCACTACTATTTAATGGTTTTATATATTTCTGAAACACTGCCAGATACTGACAGAATGGACAGACAATGAATGAAGAGATTATTTTTAAAACAAATTGTAAGTTGACTCAAATTAAAGTCTATTAAGGCATACCACTGTAATTTGTAAAACATGTTCAACCTAATTAACTATTACATAATTTAGAGCTGTAAAGTCTAAATGACAATGGTCATTTTAAGGCCACTCTCCAAAATGACAATTTCTATACTTGTAAGTTTGCAAGTTCCCAGACATATTTTGTTATTATTAAGCCATTCAGTTGTATGGATTTTAAATAATACAAACATATACATACAGAGTTTGAGACACTTAACTAATTTTTATGATAATTTGTATCTTGACTTTTCATCTCAAAGAAATGCCTAAAACTTCATTAAAGAGACAGAAAAATAACCATTGGTCCTCATCCATTCTTAAAAGAAGATGCCTTCCTCATATACTACTAGACTCCCAGAGTTAAAGTGCACATAACCAAGACAATTTTGCAATCTGAGAGTTTAAGGGCAGATTGTAGGATAAAACATTGACATGCTAAACTAAACAAAAAATTATCTACATTTTTTGAATTCTGCGTTCAGCTTATCAAAGAAAGTCTGCCCAAACCAAAAGAAAAATTCTATAGTTTACTTACAGGGCAGTTCCTAAAGTCATCAGTAGTATTTGCAGCCTGAAGCAGTTCTGCAAACATTTCAGGCTTGAGTCGCTCATGCCTTTCCAACATTCTATCAACTTCATTGCTGTGAAGGGGAATCAGTAACATTTTAACTTTGCATTTACAACACAAACAGTAAACATTATTTTCAGCTACTCTGATAGTGTATTTTGGAGCAAGTCTTACAAATGTGGAAGGCAAACAATAAACCTATGTTGGGCATGATTTACTTCATTACAAATGTAGCTCTCCTTTGAGCTCTGAAACACCGCCAAGGAACCTAAGTCCATTGATTGGCTGTAATCCCTGCTTCTCCGGAATAATATCAAGTCAGGGAATAGACCATCTTTACACATCTACTGGCCAGAAAAAGGGTATGATAGAGAGCTTGCTTCCCCCTCTGTGCCAGAAAGAACACTAGGCTCCAATTGAGTGTTTCCCTGAGGCCTCAGAAGGGACATGGTTTGGACTCAGTTCTAACTACAGTTTAACATTATGCCCATGTCTTAGATCGATGCACTCTCCAGTCCAGAGCAAACCAGGATGCTAAGATTAGAAGCATCAGTTACCATTTTTAAAATGATCACAATACTGTACTTAGTTTAAAGTGAGTGGTCAGTTTGAAGTTCAGAAATAAGTTATGAAAGTGTTACTACAGAAGATTAAGTTTAAGGGACTTTAATTTTCCCCCAGTTTTGGACCTATGAGGCTTTGTTACTTTTTCTTTTTTTAAATATGAGCTAACTGGATGGCTTCTTCCAAATTCCCTGAATCCTTAACCACCCATGCCTCATCTTATGGCTATGGTCATTATTTCTCCGCTTCCTATTTACAGGGATGTAGTCAGGGTTTTCCAGTGATAAAGAACAAATGATTTAACATTTGGCATAATACAGCAAAGCAGAGCATTATGAATGGCTATTGAACTCAAGACACCATTTATTTTTCACAGCATTTCTATACCATCTTTATAAATCAATGTGGTTTACAGAAAGGTCCAAAACAGAAAAAGATTTTATGCATTAAAAACTTGTAGCTTTTAAATATAATATGTCTCAGGAAGGCTAGCTTCAATTAATACTTGATTCTCAGGCAACAAAAAGATGTTACATCAATTTGTACAATGCAGATAATTCCCCTGCTCCAAAGGTTTTCAATTTGATTTCTTTTCCAGTTTTGACCTTTCTATTATTCAGGGACAAGGTAAAGAGGTAATCATATCATTCATCAAAACAGGTATATTCAACACATTTATTTTAACTTTGCTCTTCACCATTCCTTGGAATTTGTAAGTCTTATGTTGTAAGACTCTAGGGAGAAGAAAAGACAAAAAGGGAGGAAAAGAACAAGATGCCTTACCATAGGGCTGTTGTTGAAATATAGCGCACAAATTCTGTGAAAGGCAAAGGATCTGAAGATGCCCCACAACTGCGACATACACACTATAAGTAAAATAAAGTTTTAGTTTTTACAGCTTTCCGAATGTCAACATACTAAATTACATAATATAAAGAAATGTCTAACCTGTTCATATAACGTCATTGCAAACTTCTGATGAGTGATGCAGGATTTAGAAGTGCACATATCTGTTTCATTGCTTGGCACTATGTGATAGTGAATCCTCTCAAGGATATTTTCCTAAACAAAAGAATACTGTGACTTATTTTAAAGACTCATATCATGTCTTTCCATCATGTAGGTCTTCAGGATGACTACAATAGACATAAGCAACTTCTGACAGTGGTCCAAATACAGCTTGCAACTGTTCCCAATCTGGTTCACCAAACTGCTTTTCCAGGCTCCCTCTCTTTCACCTATTCCAGAACAAAGAGAGAGGAGGGAAAGAGCAGTTGGATTTAAGCCCCATTCTTTGTCCCAGCGCTCACAGAGGCACTTTTCTCAGCACAAGGTCAGGAAAAAAGGCTTATTTCCAACCTGCAGCAGATTAGAAATAAGCCATTTTCCTGTCCTAGTGCTGGGAAAGGAAGCCTTCCTTAGCGGAAAGCAGAGAAAATATCTTCCCCATCTCATCTAATCTCCATGGTGAACTTGTTAGCATGTGAAAATGTGATGGATACATGCACTATATCTAGTTCAACCACCACATGGTTCACAAATATTTAAAAAAAACTTATCCAGATACATACAAAACATTCAGCTGCATCATCCATGAAGCCAAGTTGAAATCGCTGTTCATCTTTAAAGCTTTCAGCTAAAGCATGCCTCATATTATTTGATGGGAGTGCTTTTTCTCGACTGTGCTGGAATTGTGCAAATATTGTCTGGAAGTCAACAGGATTGGGGATTAATACTTTTGAATACTTGTTGTTTGAACACTATAGCATACCTCAGTGTTTGATAAGAGATGTTTTCATCTAGGAGAATATTCAGTGATGTTGAACAAAGTGTATTTATCTAATAGGATATAATAATAGGGTATAATAATAATATCCTATAAAATAGGGTATAATAACAATCTAATAATAAAATATTATATTTTTCTTTTTATTAGAAAATACTGTAAATTATAATTACTTTCTGTCCCCTATCAGGATAACTTTCTGCACACCTTGACTTTGATGAAAATAAATGGGTGGAACATACAAGAAAAAGCAGAAAGATTATCACAGAGTGGCAGCAGTCTTTGCTATACTGAATCAGGAAAGGCTCATCTATTCTAGCATGCCACCTCCTATTATGGCTAAGGAGATAGCTTTAGAAAGCTCACAAGCAGAGAATAAAAACAACAGCCATCTCTCAGTGTTTGTTCCCTGGCAAGTGCTATACAGCACCTGAACAGAGAAGTTCTACACAGTCATAACTGAGACCTGCTGCAAAATGTTGCAATGTATTATCCAGTAACAAGTATGCCAGTCTTCAGGAGTCCATAACCATGCCTAACTCCAAAATATTATCATTTGTTAGGAATGCTTTCCTTCCATCAGCCTTTTCTGGGTTTCTTTTCTAATTCATATCCATGCTCAATAACAATTGGTTTGGATCTGCATATAAAATATTTTAAAAATATTTAAAAGGCAGCAGTTAAAGCTGTCAATGAATACTTTCTTAGAAAATGAACAAGTTTTTATCCTGTCTAAGTTTCACCTGTACAAGTCTTCAGAATGTAATGCTCTTATTAGGTCTGTGTTTTCTGTAATATTATTACAGTAAATCAGAAATACTATAACCTCTGTAATATCATGGTGTTCACCCTATGTAGAAAATGATGACCAATTAGGACCTCTTACAGAGTAACAGTTCCACTGATAAAATAATTCATAAAGCAGACAATACAATTTTAAAGTTACCTTTAAAGCACAGAATATGCAGGCATCACCCTGACAAACATGTCCCGTTAGACCTCTTAAACTCCGTCGGAATATGTCAAGTTGCCATAAAACCTGCAAAAAATAGAGAGAAAGCCAAAGAGATAAAGGCTTCAGCTTCCTCCCTAAAAGTTTGTTTCTGTATTAAAATTGTAGGCTTGCCAATGAACTGCTCTTTCAAGGTATGGATAATTTATATTAGAAAAGTGATATTGGTAGAGGGATAATTCCTATTATGTATTTACTCATTTCTTCTTTATACTGCTCAACAGCTCAACTTCTCTACTTCTATACACTGTCTGGGAGCCATAGAATAGTTTGGATACCCTCCTCCAAGGTCAAAGATAGAGCTGCAACTTCAGAGCTACATATTGGAGCTTTAATCTCCTTCCTCTACAAATGGTGAGGAAAGAAGAATGCTGGCTACTCTGCAAGGTCGGAAATGCAACCTTGGAGATGAGATAAGGGAGCATTCTAGGAGAGGGGAAGAGACTGGAGTAGCCCGGATACAAGGTATCCTGTAGCTGCTCAAACCTTCTTCAATCTCCTTCTGAGGCACTGTTAGACAGCTGCAAATGGCCATTTAGTAAAAATACAGTTTGAGGAGCTGATAGAGATGACTCCCACTGTTTGTTTCAGAGGTTTCTACCTACTTATTAGAAACAGTATGTTTTACTTAACATTTTTGTAAAATTTGAATATAATTTGTTATGACAAACATTCAGTGTTTACATTTCCATCTCTTTTCTCCTGTACTGCTTCAATCAGCAGATAACTGCTTTTGAAAGTGGTGTTTTACTTAATAAATGGCTTAAGGTTTTATATATTATTCATGTGGACCTATGAAGTCACTATACGAAGTAACTTGAATGGTATGTACAAATTTAGTTAATCACCGACACTGATAGTTGACATCAGAACCACTGAACACGTTTATTTAAAACATTTGTATGCTGCCCAATTGTGCCACAGCTCCTCTGGGCAGCTCACAGTTATAAGATAAAACACAATAAAAACTAATTACAACGTATTAAAATATAATACTAATAAAATATGGATAAAAATACAAAACAGAAGGTTGAGTGGCACTAACTATTTAAATATTTTTTAAAAAGGAAGGTCTTTGGCTGGCACTGGAAAGAATATAAGGAAGGTGCCGGCAAATCTCCTAGGGGAGAGCACTCCACGTTATGAATGGCTTAATTTTGTGGACAGATGAACAGTCCAAAAACTATTGTTAGAAGCTAGACTAAATGGACGCTGTTTACACATTCTTGAAAGCTGAACAACACTAAAAGATTAAAATTCTGGAAACAATATTTTCTTGTCAAAACCATGTTTAAAAAAATTCGGTATTTAAGCAAAAACACCCCAGGAAGGGACAACTGGATACATATTTATAAGCAATATTTTCTTGTCAAAACCATGTTTAAAAAAATTCAGTATTTAAGCAAAAACTCACCAGGAAGGGACAACTGGATACATATTTATAAGCAATATTTTCTTGTCAAAACCATGTTTAAAAAAATTCAGTATTTAAGCAAAAACACACCAGGAAGGGACAACTGGATACATATTTATAAGCAGTAGAATCAGCAGGAACTAATTGTATAACAAGGAATGACAGTTATTAGTTGGGATCCAAAATCATGATGTGCACCTTCTAGAGAATCACACCTGCAGCTCTTTCAGTGGCTGAAACAAAAAGCTATAGAGCGATTATCTCCAATACATCAATTCCAAGTGATAAAAACATCAAACACAACTGTGTCTGCACATGTAGCCCTCCCTATGCATAAAGCCCAAATCTTCAATCCCTTGTTATCCTTTTTAAACCACTAGGAAGAAAAAAAATATAATTGCAAAGTGCAAAGGCAGTTCAAGTAGACAATCTAATGCCAACTTGGGGTGATTTAGATGCATGGAAAGCAATGTATGTCCATGATTACTACATTTCAATTAAGCTGAATTTTAACTGTATGCATACTCTAATATTCTTTCAATTCATCATGAAATTTCGCAGATCAATTCTGCATAAAGTGTAACTTTCCTCCTGACTCCACTCTGAAACAATGAATTTAATTTATTTAAAAATGTTCATACCTGAGATATACCTGACATACTATCAGGTTTATATTCCTTAAGAATGTTTTCCCCTCAGATGAATTAGTTTCTACATGTTCCCTGGGATGTTCCCGGAATGTTCCTAGAACATTATTTAAAAGTTTTATAATAGGCATGCATTTGCTGCCTGTGCAAATTTTGGGGGTCTCATTTGTACCAACTCTTTGCTACTCTCATGACTGCCAATTCACTTGCTCTTACCTTCCAGGTTCAATTTGTTCCAAAAGAAGGCACACTTGAACTTTCTGCATTTGATAAATGGAATTTAGGGTTATGGATAGTTCCCTAGTAATGAATGCAAATATACACAATTTTAATACTTTTCCAGTTTGATGAACTTGTGGTTTAACTGTCCTTATGTTGCTTTTCCTCCATTCCAATTTAGAGGACTTTAAAACTTTGAACAGTGATCTATAATAAAGTTTACTCTGCATATTTACGAGCTGAGATGATTTCTAGAACATGGGTGCTCAGATTATCATGCTAGACTGAGCGATATTAACTTAGATTCACCTATGGCTCAGTGGAGTAGACAAGGAATCTGCATTTTATTCACCAACGGAATTTTATTATTTTTATTTATTTATTACAGATTTATATTGTTTTAATAGCAAGTATTTAATATGAATTTCCTGCTTGCAGGCTTCTCAAAAATACTGCGTGAAACAAGATTCTAGACACCACAGACCTTATGTCTGATACAGCAGGATTATTTGTATTATTATTCAGATTAGATACACTTTGAGGCAATTTTTTGTATATTTTAGTCATAAAAGCTGTCCATCTTTTCTTGCTTACCCTTTACTGCTTTTTTATTATGAAGAATATAAATCTAATTCAAACTATGCATTGTAAAAATCTCAGCATACCTTTAACAGAAAGCTAGACTAATGTATTAAAATATTAAACACAAATACACACATTTGCATAACATAAGATTTTTTGTTATCTTTCTTTCTTACCTGTACAGCACTGTTAAGAAAGCAACTGTTTTGTCCTGGTTCATTTAACAAGCCTTTGGTAGGAGCCAAAGACATCACACTTCCAGGTTGATAACCTTTTCCAAGATTTCCTCCAGGTTTCCTCAGGAATTTTACCCATGCCATTATTCAGGACACACGTTTTATTTATGAAGTAAATTCCAAGAATTCTGAGCAGAGCAAGGCAAATAATTCTGACAATTGCCTTTAAAAGAGTTCCAATAATGCGTTGAGAAAAATGTCTGATGCTTGAAATTATACCAAGCTAATATTGTTTCTGTTTTATTCTGTTTGAGAAAAAATTTAAAAATATATCGAAGACAAAATAAAACGTGAAAAATGCAGCGGTTCTAGTGACTAAATTAAGTTAAAACATACTAAAAACTTAAAAATACTTTCACAATCTTCATAGTATCTCACTTCACTTTTTAGTTTATTAGTGCAAATCACTCTTTTGAAGAGGATTTTTAAATACTATTACAGCTTTCTATTACAAAAGCAGGACTTCTTAGTTAATATTATATTCAGTCTCTTTCATGTTGATTCTTCCTTTTCAGTATAGGAAATAAATCATATTTCTTCTTTTGGTTTGCAAATGTAATTCCACTATGTATATTTCATCTCTTTCTTCTTTTATAATCTGTGAAATAAAAAAGGGAAAAAGTTTCACAGTTATGATAACATTAATTATAGAGTTAAAATTGAATGTGATGAAGCAACAGTATATCCAGTGTTAACTGAATTTTAAGTTCAGTAAGTCTATTCCAGCTAGAACACTGGATTCAACCCACATAGCTTTCACTCCAACTCTTTAGTGTGGCCTACAGATTCATATTACTGAAGGTCCAGAATTGAAGACATGACAGACTGGGAAGTTTATTAATAATTTAATTCTCTAACATTATTTCAGCATAACTGTCAGACTTCCAAGGGGATGGACTCAGTTTGCCATCTTTCTGAGCACACATAAACATGGGAATGGGTGGAAAGGTTGAGAGGAAGTGAAACCTATCAGGAGAGCACAAAATTCCTGAGGATCTCAGTGTCAAAGGGGGCATAAATCCCTCTAGTCCTTTTTGTGAGCAAAGATCAATTCAGTCTTTGAATTGACAACTCACCCTTTGACAGCTGTTAAGACAAAGCAAAATGGTTCCCAGTCAATGTGGGAAGAGCAGCTTAAGCCACAACAACCCATAGGATGCTTGCTGGTGGACTAATGGTGGACTAATGAGTGCAGGTGAAAATGCACAGTAAGCCCAATCTTCTGTTAGGCATGTTGTGAGTTGCTCTCATGAAACTAATCCACCACAGGTTATTGCCAGGGTTTGTGCGGTGTCATTAGGCAAGACAGCAAATAAAGAAAAAGAAGGAGAGGGATTGATGTAAAAGCTATGGAGTTTGCATTTGGTTTGTATTAAGATGAAAAGTGAGAAAGACCTACAGACTTTCAAATTAAATTCTAGCAGATATTGAACCATTTTCATTTTATATCTGGGATGTTCCTAAAGGTGACAGAAGGAAAGAACCCTCTTCCCCCTTTCAATCTCCCAAATCTCAAATTTTCCTCTCCAATCTCTAGAGGGCTGGCAGCCTTTCTGAACACCATTAGATTGGATGCAGAGAAGAAGAGGACAGAAAATGTTCCTTCCCTGAATTTTTTTACAATAGGTTTATCTTGGCATCCATGGCATTTAACTCTGTTGAATTCTACATTCAGATAGTGATAGCTTATCTTGTACACATGAAGCTTTCGGAGAAGCTTACTAAAAACATTTAATGCACTTTCTCTTATTCCTAATATATCTCCCTTGCAGTTTATATGCTTCCTTCTGTTACTGTCCCAGGTTTATAGACTACATTAGTAATTATGGAATTAAAGATCAGCAAGCAGAATTTAACTCAAGGTGTTGGAATTTCCCCAACCAATTTCTGGGTTGAAAAGAAGCAGTTCCTTCCTGCATTTTTACCTTCCTTTGGAGGCAAACATTTAACATTCATGTACTCTGGGTATAGGGTGAAAGGGTAGGTTTTTATCCCATTCTGGAATGGAGGACAGAATGCAGAGAGGTGAAATTAATCATTAGGTGAGGAGTGATACCTGGAGGTACAACATAAATTTCTTAAAGGCAATATTTTTGATCTTCTGAATAAATTGCTAGGAATATTTTAACAGTTGTACATCAGTACAACTTCAAGCCGCTTGTAACTTGCTCTTTCAATCCTATTCTCACAAACCTACAGTTACCTGTACTAAGGCTCCAGATAAGGCACTACACACATTTCAACATGAAATTAAAAGATCATTGCCCATGACATTATAGGAAGTATGGCTGCTAGCTGCAATGTGATAAAACAGTACTTCATTGCACTGTCAAACATTTAATTTACCATGTGCATTGTTACCTCCCCACTCCATGCATTTGGAACTACACATTTTGTGTGTGTCTAGACTCAGATTCAAACTAGAATCTACAAATTTTTCCATGTATGAAAGCAACTGAAGAGGTTTAATTATATGAAAACATGATAAAATAAATCAAATATGAAAATATATTTTCACCACTTGTAGATGTTGTCTGGGCTCTAGAAACACAAATGTTGCATGTTCTCAGAAAAACTGATTTCATAGATGTTGAGAAGTACTCACAAACATTTTTAATGCCTGACTTCAAATACTGTTAAAGATTGGTATTGGTATTATAAAACATCCAAGTAAGAGATAACATTGTTAACCCCAAAACATAAAGCTCTCCACAGTTGATGACAACCATTTCTTAAAATTCCAGAAATGATTTTGTCCCATGTGGTGACATTTACCATTTAACTGGATGCCTACATTAATTATCTCATAACAAGTGCCAATGCAGTATTTACACATATTTAAACACAGTCTAGCTATCTACACAATTATGGCAAAATGACATGTGGGCACTACTGGAAAAATCCCTGACATCTTAAGATTTTCAAATGATCTTTAAGATTATTTTCCAGGCCATGATTCAAAAAGCTGCATTAAGCAATCATGAATATCTGATCTATAGCTGTCAAATCACACATTAAAGATCCAATAAACCAAATATCCTAGTATTTTAAAAAAATATACTCCAACCACTATGTACTTGTTTATGAAGTTAACACGATATCTGGACAACTTTTTAGGATATGGACATGGCAAATATTAATTTAGTGTAGTCTACTAATAGTATTACATTAGCATTAGTTGACTATACTTAGCATTAAATAATACTGACTTTTCTAGGCACTTTAAAGCTACAATCTGAAACACTCTAACTAATGAAAACTATAGGAGTTACAGTAGACTAAAATGCCTAGACTGTACTGCAAATATGTTCCTTGTAATTTTTTTCTTGAAAATGCCATGTTAGATTACTATTGTCAGATGGGAGGTTGAGAGTAGCTTGCCTAACCAATGAGTTAATGGCACAGGCAAAATTAAAAACTGAGAATTTCCTGATATGCAGCAATCTTTCAATCCTTATCCTTCAACAGCACATGAGATTATCAATTTAAAAATGAACAGAAGTTCAGTAACACAAGAACTAAATTTCACTTACAGTATTTGAAATCTCCAAAGCTTTTTTGTTCCAAGTCCTCTGAATTCAGTTGAAATTAAGTGCTTTCTAGATAAACTGATGTATATGTTTTGTATTTTCAATTGAAAATAGAACTAATGATGTTTCACATGCTCTAGAACATTTTGTACAAACATTAACACTTTTTTTGCTACATCCTCTGTCTAGTTCAAATATACAAACTCTTGTAAAAGTAGCATGTTCCTCCCATTAACGATTCTATCACAGAAAACACTGTTTCAAACTGATGGATATACTGTAGCTCTGCTCTTTATAACCAAATGATGCACTCAAGTAGTGGCTGACTTAACTCCTAAAGATGCCATTAGTGACTGTGTTCACAGATCTTTATCTGTTATTCTATGTAAAGTTGTTCCTGTGTTGTACATGCAAACAGCTGAAGTTCTAAGATTCCTTCCAGATGAACCAGGTTTCACCGAATTCAATGAAATTTCAAAGTGAGCACCCTCTGGATTTGATAGTAAATTTCTGTGGGTAGGAACCGGATCAACTTTTTTAGTAGTTCTTCTGCATTTCTAGTTACTTTCCCTGCAGTCAGCTCAGAGAGATGTACAGCCTCAACAGGCAACAAGGGGGGGGGGGAACTTTCTCAGTGGTAGCCCCCCAATCTATGGAATAACCTCCCCACAATAGCCTGGCTTGTGCCAAATCTGTCCTCTTTTCAGCACCAGGTTAAGAGGACCCCCTTTTCTGAGGCTTTTAAAGACTTGCTCGGCCACCCAAAGGCTTGCAAGGGATTGCCAGGTGTTTCACAGAGCCACTGTTTTGTTATACATTGTTATTGTCTATTTTTATTATCTGTTTAACGTTCTTATATTTTATATTTTTCTTGTATTTTAATCATTTGATTAAAGGCAATGTGAGGCCATATGGAAATGAAATCAACAATAATGATAATATGAATCAATGTATTAATCTGTTTCACCAAGGTTCCTAAAGGCACTCAGATTTTGGAACTGGGACAATAATAATGATAATAGCATTTGCTTATGAATAGAAAGCCTTACCAGGCTCCATTTAGGCTACTTCTTGTTGTATTAAATTATATCCAGTTCTTTCTTACTTGAGGGGCATGAAACATTATGAAACCGATCCTGGATTGATCTAAAGTGCAACAGACAATTTCAGGCCATGGTTTTCTATAATGTTTAGCACTCCTAGGGGGACATTATGGTGGAAAATGTATCAGATATAGTGTCCACAGGATTTTTCTGGTTTTATCATAGGAACAATTTTTCAGAACCCCTTACTCAAAAAGCTGTGTGTATAATCCATTCACAATTTAAATTTCTGCAGCCCATATTCCAGAAAGTAATGGTGGTGACATCAGTATTACTTAAGAATTAAATATCTGCAGCATGTAAAAGTAAACAGGATGTTGTTAAGCCTAGTACAAAGATTATCACAGCAAGAGTTTTTAGAATCTTAGCAGTCATCTACAAGCATCTCTGATGACCCAGTTAGTTATGGGTCATAGTGGCTAGCTGAACAAAAACATCAACTGAGTGTGCACAGCAACAATGAAAATGGCAACTTTCATGTGAAGCATAATTAACAAACCAAAATTAAGACAACTAGCATTTGCAGTACTCTGTATATTTCTGGAATCCCCCTCTAAAAATGATATCAGAACTGAAAAAGGCAACTAACTGCACAATATGATTCATGTTTTACTGTCTCCGCATCTTTCAGCTAGTAATGCTTAGGCTCTATCTAAACATGCTTAAGATTGCACCCTAAAATGATCAAGCTGCTATAGCACCTTCACTATAAGGAAAAGGAGATTTTGTTTGAGATCTATTTTAAATTCAGGAAAGCGATGACTAAGGGGAAACATATCTGATATTGTTAAAGCTCAACAAGGTGTAGAAAAACACTACCAAAATCAGATTACTAACCTCTTTGAAAGATATGGTAGTTATGCCTCTCTTGAAAAAGGGTTAATTTCAGAGGACAGGAATAATTTTAGATCAGTGGTTAATCTTCCATTTTCAGGCAAAGTGACTGAAAGAGCGGTGGCTGGCCAGGCACTTCTGAATGACACTGATGGTTAAGGTAAATTTCAACTGTGTTTTAGGCCTTATTTGGTATAGAGACTACCTCAGTTGCACTGCGGAATGACACCTGCTGAAAGGAAGGAAGGACGGCAGGCTGGCCAGCCAGGAATACATCCATGCTGGTTTTTCTAGACCACCAAGTAGCTTTTGATTTTATTGAGCACGGCATCTTTCTGGAGAAACTGCTTAAATTGGATGTTGGAGGCACCCTTTAACAGTGATTCCATCTTACTTGGGCAGGAGACTCCACTATGGCATCCCTCAGAGTTCTATTTTGTCCCCTCTACTTTTCAACATCTATATGAAACCACTGGGAAGTAGTGCATAAAAATGGAGTAGAGTATCATCAACATGCAGGTGACACCTAACACTACCTCTCCTTTTCAGCAAATACAGATGAGACAGAGGCCATGCTGAACCAATGCCTCTGGTTCAGGACTCTGTAAGGATGGATTAAGCCCAATACACAGATTAGGGCCAATACACAGATTCAGTCCAGAAAGACAGAGGTTCATCTGTCCCATTATCTTTCATTCAACCTGCTCTAAATGGGATTGCATTCCCTCACAATGAGCAAGTTTATAATTGGGGAATACTCATAGTTCCAAATCTGTCATTTGTGTCCCAACTGGCCTCGGGGGCATGAAGAACCTTTTATCTGGTTAGAGAGCCAGTGTGGTATAGTGGTTAAAAGCATGGGACTGGGACTCAGACAATCTGGGTTCTAGTCCCCACTCAGCCATGGAGCAAACTGGGTGACTTTGGGCCAGTCACAGACTCTCAGCCCAACCTACCTCACAGGGTTGTTATTGTGGGGATAAGATGGAGAAGGAGATATAAGCTGCCTTGAGCCCTTTGTAGGAAAAAGGCAGGATATAAATCGAAAAATAAATAAATAAAATCTGGTTTGGCTGATAAACCAGTTTAGCTGATATATCAGTAAAGGCCCTACTGGAACAGAAAGAACCTGGCTACAGTAATCCGGGCACTGATAACCTGCTAGTCTGAATTACAGCAATGTGTTATCATTGGGACTACCTCTGAGGATAGTCAAGAAACTTCACTTAGATCAGAACAGTGAAGTGGCTTACTGGAACTAGCCATTTTGGACACATTACTTCAGTGCTGCAATACAATTTCCTGGTCTGATTAAAAGAGTTGACTCTAAACTGCTAAGGACTAATCTACCTGAAAGCATGTCTTTTTTCAATCTGTCCCTGTCAGATAACTAAAACATTCCCTAGATCCTTCTCTGGATGCAACATATGGTTACCAGGATAAAGGTCTTCTCTACAGTAGTCTCTGTGAAATGCCTTTCCCAAAGAACTGTGTGGTATATTCATAGCATACATGTATACACCAAATTAACATATTGTTAAACAGGCATTTAATATTTAATCTGTTGCTCTGATTGTTAAATTTTATTACTGGGTCCTTAAGATTTAACATTTTAAAACTGTTAATATTTTATATTGTATTGTTCTGACACTTTTATTGCTAGTTGCTTATTTTGTTGTTACAGGTGCTGTCGGATTTGTGATTGTAAACTTCCTCAAGGGCATTTGCCACTGGGGTGATATAAAAATTTAACATTACAAAACATAAATAAGAAGTGGAGAAAGAAGTGTTTTTCTTTCTCTCACAGAAGCCGATATGGTGTTCAAATGCGTTTGACTGGTACCAGATTCAGGATAGTCAAAGCAAAGCAGAAGTTCACACATGATGTATAAACAGGCAATTTCTTACCAAAAGATGTAATAACAGCAATTCAATTAATAGATGATTCATTTACAAGTTATTAGCAGTAGTAACTAAATAGAACATTCATGTTCAGAGGCTAGACATCTTCATGTAGTTTTTGGGGTTAAACAATGCAAAAAGACTATTGCCTTTATGCCCTATATGTGGCCTTCCGGGAAACATCTGGCTGATCAGTTTGGAAAACAGGATGCCTGCCTAGATGGATCCTTGATCTGATGTAGCATGAATCTTCTTATGTTCTTAGCTAATGGTGACAGACCATCTAATACCTGCTGATTTAACAGAGGTCTCGACAACTCTTTTACATCAGCCATCACCACCTCTGCTCCATTACAATACCAACAGCCTACAATATAAGACCTCAACTGACTTGTCCACCATCTATCACTGACATTCTATTTTCCAACAAAGTCGAAATCATAATTTACTTCCCTTTATGGCTGGAAGTGCCATCTTGCCCCAGTCCCTCAATATCTCATACTGTAATGCCCAATGACTACCTCTGGTTGCCTCTCATTTTATTCCCCAATGAGCAGACGGTCATTTATTAATCCTTAATGATAGATGTATTAAATAAAATATTAAATTCTTAGATAGTCCATCATGATCTTTAATGGGGATAAATCTTCTTTAAGTTAATCTTTAGGTGTAGAACACTGATTCCATTTGCATGGTAACGTCTACTGTATTTAGATTTTGCTGACATGAAACTCCCCATTTATGACTGAAAATTGAACACCTTGAGCAGAATATGTCAGCATTGTTAAAATAAACAAGATGATTTATATTTGAATGTTGCAAATTCTTAAAGTGCTTAGAGTGACTGTGCTAAATAACTGCTGGTTGCAATTCTAGCTGATCAAGCATTTGGCTCATAGCTTCCCAAATCAGTGC